ATATGCTTCAAATTGTCTTCCGGTGACGGAAAGAGCACACAAAAAGGAATTGAGTGGTATATGATAAACCAAAGACCGTTAAGATTGCACGTAGATAATGAAAAATTATACAAATTGTCGGAGCTTCGGTTTTGTGTCCACTTGGCAGTATCTGGGGGTTAGAGGAAGGTCATTGACCAGTTAAATTTGGTTTAGCTTGCTCGTATCGTTACAAATGTTATCATCCGAAGTGTGCAAATTTGTCCCAACAACAGATACGAGAGCGAACTAGCTCCCAAGACGTCAAGTAGTCCTGTACTGCGTGCTCGACCATCCCATTCGTTAAGTGTATGCTTATCTTAGTCCAGAAGTGCGACCGGTTAACAGAAAAGCCGAGCAACGAATGAAGGATAAAGTTACGTCATTAGAAGAGAGCCTGCACCAGATAAGCGTAGTGGCCTCTAGGCAACGGAATGCTGCACAACTTGCTTCCCCCGAACCGCAATCAGCCAGGTCCCCATCGCCGTTGTCTTCGCCACTTTTGTTAGAGCGCCAGCCGAAAATCGACTGTACTTACGAGTGTCACGTCGTGTTCATGGCAACGAAAATCAGGCACTAACCGAAACATCTAATTAAGCAAATTGCACTAGACCTGACATCTGTCAGTAACAAGGATGAAGCAGCCGAACCAACCCTCAGCATCCGCAGCTCAAATGTCTCTTGTCGAGTCAAAGTTCCCCGGGACATCAGTAACATAATCAGAGATTGCTGCAATAGTCAGTCGGGAGACTGCCCTTGCGGTATCTTCTAATTTAAACACCGTAAACGCGAATAGAGCGGCAAAGAGTAGACAATCACCACTTACCAGTAGGTCAGGACAACAATTACCATACCTTATAGCCAAACAAAAAGAGATCTAACAATAGTGTTAGGACTGTTCAGTGTTCCAATGTCCCAGAATATACCGCCAACACATTGAGTGGTAAGTTATCGGACGACCAAGATCAATGGAACTCGCTGTGCGTACTGATGAGCGTCAAAGCCAAACCTAAAAGCCTACTACGGAATACTCGTCATCCGATCGCTGCACACTATGGAGAATCCGGACTTATGCGAGTAACAATAGGGTCCTCCAATGATGTAGAAAGCGTATTTTTCTCTCTTCAAGTGTGCTACCATACGGATCCTATGGGACACGCATCTATCCTGATGTCCCTTAGAGCGAACGACAATCAAAAAGAAACACCGAAGAAAGACACAACGAGCGAGGTCGCCCAAACACAATCATCCATAGCGTGTCATAGCTTCCTTCTAATGATAATCAAGAGGCCAGAAAGTACGATTTAGAACAGTGGCTGTTCATTCGTGAAACACTCCTTGGATGACGTTGTAGAGCTATCGATCAGCAGACCACCCCTCTCACGAGATTAGAAGATGCGACCCAATGATCCTAAAACTTTTGATTCAGTCAGAGCAAAGAGTCCCGGAGGTGTTGGATCGCTGGTAGGGAAATAGGAGAAGTTTTCCTTCTGGATCTCGGTTAAAGGCTGAAGAAGCTTTGCAACGTTCATTTATCAAAGCATCTGAAGCAGCAAATCTACCGGAACTTCACTTGACCGCTCCTGTACTCGACTCTGACGTAGATTTAAACGAGATTGGGACGCGCCTTGGCCGAAACAAGTTACAGACGAGGTATTAGTATACCATCAAAAAACGAGTTACTGATGACATCCCAATCGGTCGGCATTCTCCCACACTTGACCCCTTCAGACCTTTGTGGGCCCCTAGATGCCGAGAAATTAATGTGCCTGTGTACGAATGTTCAGGATCTTTTTAATAAACTGACTGAACTGAGAGGTCGCCAAGTTTCTGGGTCACATGATAGTACTGAGACATGGTTGCACACTAAAATGGCGGACGCTGAAGTTTCGCTACCAGGTATGTCGCTCATCCGGAACGACAGACACATAAAAATGAGGGGTAATTCTGTATTACCGAAGCGACCTACAGTGTGAAGCCGTGGAAGATTCAGACTCGTAGTTCCCCGATTCTCTTTGGTGCCGCCTGCAGTTAAATGGCAGAGACACCTACCATAGTATATTGGTGTACCGCCCCTAACTCTACACCCGAAACCTGCTGCGGCTGCTTTAAGACGCACTCACATCCTTATCATGGGTGATTTCAACGTACTTTGTGTACAAACTCCTGCTACGATCGGACAACAATTCAACGTCGATCTGCAGGAGCTCGTACCCATTGTTCCGTCTTGTAATCACGTCACTTTGCCCACTCGGTTCAGAACAGGTAACAGGTCATCTGTGCGGAATCTTGTGCTTACCAACGAAGAGCATATGCTTAATGTACTGCTGTAAACTGACCGTTGGGTCGCACTGATCATGCGGTTATCAGTTTCAACTTCGTCTGCCATGCGGAATATCGGAATGTGAACTATGAGAATGTGCGAACCAACACAAGCTACGATCGATTAGCCCAGCTCGTTAGCGCCACAACCTGGTCGTTCCTTGCCGAAGAGCCCCCAGTAGTCGCCTGGCTCGAGTTCGTCCACAAGTTCAGTCGGCTGTTTACAGATGCTTCAGAGATAAGAGTTTGCCATGGGTCTAAATAAATTGCCTTCGTTAGGAACAGAACTCGAAAATGGATGGCAGTACGCAACAGAGCATGGAGGTGTACAGAGAAGCTCCAACACCAGAAACTTGTGACAACTACGTAGCGTAACGTAACCATTGCGCTCAACTGCTCAGCAAAGACAAAGCCGCCTATTAGCAAGACATCGCAAAGCTTTCAGTGCTAATCACAAACTGCTGTACAAGCATGTCAATGGCCTACGAAAGGTGAGGCAAGGATTTTCTCCAATTAGGACGACCGATGGACCAACTAGAACGGTTACGGAAGCAGAAAACGCGCTGCGAAAGCAATATGCCCCCATGTTTCAGGTCTTGTCATCAAGTAATCTTCCAGCTTTTGCTATCTCTCCGCCAGCACTAACCCATAGCACTTTTATCGCTGAAGCTGTATTGCAGTAGTTGACGTCGCTACGCAACCACATCTCCCCGGGTGTTGGTACCATTCGTCCATAAGCACTGGAAGCAGCAGCAGGCCACTGACAAGACCTTCCGCTCAGTTTTGCCAGCGCTACTTAGACCAGAACCAGGTTCCTGCTGTGCGGACGCTTGGAATAATCAATTCACAAAGGCGAAAGCAGTACTGAGCCCTCTAACTACCACCCAGCATCTCTTCTCCATATACTGTCCAAGGTCATGGAACCCATCGTTGCAGATACACCGGTGTGTTAGCTGGAAAATTGTAACGTCATTACATCCGAGCAGCACGGCTTCCGTCGACAGCGATCGTACACAACAAATTCAATCGCAAGCAGTAGTTGGACAGAGTCAGCTGACACTTGAGAAGTCGTTGATGTAATCTACGTAGGTTTTTCGAAAGCATTCCATCGTCTAGACCATCGGATAGTCTTTTCTAAGCTACAGTATTGCGATATCGGCGACCCTCTTTTAACCTGGATTGCCAACTTTCCCCTACGATGGCAATTAGTGGTCAAAGTTCGGAGCTTTTTATTGGACCCCATAAAAGTCGAGTGTGTTGTGCTCCAAGACACAGTTCTAGGGCCAAGGTTGTTTTTGATGTTTATTAACGACCTCGCACAGGCTATCACTCCAAATTTCCTAATGTTTGCCGATGATATCATGGCGCAAGATTCAGGTGAATGCCGACCATTATCTGCTTCAGAGTGACCTAGACACGGTACATCAGTGGTCGACCCAAAATTCACTGCATTTTAACGTGAGTAAATACAGGGTACTCTCCATGGGACGTCAAAAACTACTCATACCGGCTCGGAACGAATGTACTGCGACAATATACTGTCGAACGTGATTTAGGTGTGCTGGTTCAAGATGACTTGGGTTGCTCTAAACAATTCGAAAAGGCATCGAAAGCTGGTAACCAACACGGGCGGTTGTAACGGATGTTTGGGCAAATAAACAGCTCTATTATTCGACAAATGCACAGTGCGTGTGTTCGCCACCATGTCGGATACGCAATTCAAGCCTGGCATCCATGGCTGAAACACAACCTTAATGCACTGGAACAGCCTCAACCTCGGGCATCTAAGCGCCTAATTGGAATGCGCAATTTTCCATGCGAGGAGAGGCTGAAACGATTGTGGGTATTCAGCGGACGCCATCGCAGATTACGCGGCTACCTAGTAATGGCATACTTGATTCTACACGACCCGCATAATGTGTGCTGCTCCTTGCTGCAACTCAACAGCAATACAAACATGAAAGGTCACCCATTGAAACTCGTAGAACAACAATACAGTCGTCTGGAATGCCGCAATCACTTCTTTTCCATTCGCGTCTCACGAGTGGAATGCTCCCCCTGAGTCGGTCGTCTGCTCAACAGTAACAATATGGAAAAGACGGTTCGATGACGCACACATCCGCTTACACTTCGTTAGCACTACGTCTCCATCCTATTCCTGGAGTTTACCTTGGATTTATTTGATGTTAACTGTGGGTGCTGTGAATCTACGCAGATTGCAGAACTACAGTAGGGCAAATGATAAGTCTTTCTTTTCATATTAAAGTACTTACTGTTTCAGCATTATTATTTCGATATCCCCACCAAACTACCCAACGGAACTTGTAAAGCAGCGCTTCTTAACCCGTATAAATTCATTATTCTTACAATACGAGGACTTCGTTACATACCGGCATGTTAAGTACGTTTCTATTTCTGAGTTGCGGCATACCAACTTGCGGCACGATTTTCGTGAAAAAGTTGATAAGACACTATTCCTACTTCTCGGATCGAAAGCTGAGATTCTGACCATCGGTGTGAATATTCCACAGTGACGACCTATTCCCCCCAGCAAGTAATGAGCCACTGAGTGCGAAATACGTTCATGCATTCAGTATAATCCACATTAATGTGCTAGCTACTCTTGAATTTTTAAAACGTGGTCTCTTGTTCCGTTGTAGCTATACGAATTCGAAACAGCCTACGCTTCTGCACAAGGTGAGTGAGACACGAAAAACCGTTTAACTTTTTCCGGATCCAACACCGTGCAAGCCGATTAAGACAAGAATCTGTGACTGATTGGACAACCTTCTGAGATGGGACTGGAAGTCACAAGACAATAAGGAGTAGGCCAAGTGAATGAAGTACCGTAATCTCTAGCTGGCGTATGATCTTAGTATCAAGTTCTCCGTGGCACTAAGTGCTGTGTATGTGTACTACAGTGACCCACACCTGCCTTGGTTATGGAGCACCGGGGCCACAACGTAAACCGTGGTTACCACAATGGGAAGATAAGATCTGAGATATCCTTCATATTTACTAACAGGAACTTGTGATAATCACGGATGCTGCGCCATTCACGACATCGGCGGTGAGACAGAGAACGTAACTACATGCGAGGTACCGTTTAGCTACGGGCGGAGGGGGACTGGGACATACTTCAAAAACGCACCTTCTTCACGGAAATATACGGTCTGGTAGGGAAGGTGTTTGGGGACTCACCCGAAATGAGCGGGACATAATGCGATTTTTTCTCTACATTGAATCTAACAGGATGAAGGAGGTCTTCAAAGAACATAAGGCAAGCGCCGATTTTCTCCGTCATCGTACCACGTTTTAAGATAGTAAATAAAATAAAATAATACAACACGATTTGGAGGTGATTCGGTGTGGCCTCTCCCAACACTGACACCCCAGGACCGACGGCGTCGTTCTTTTTTGGATGCATCAGGTAGAGATAGCTTGAGCTGGGATGACACTCAGGGTTTAGCAGTTAAAGACCGACGTTTTAATCACTATGTCACTAAGATTCGTGAGTAACGCTCGACACAGCGGTAAGAAATTGAAAGTTGTGTTTGGAATACCCACCGTATGGTTGGATTGCGACACCTAGTCTCTATTGAGACCAAGGTCGTTCCGATCACTGGGACAGTATCCGAAACAGAGGTGATTTTGTGTTGCTCTTCCCGATACTGACACTCCACGATCGACAGTTTCGTCCTTGTTTGGACTTGGTTCAAATTATTACAAAAAATGAAGTTGCGCATTAGTCATAAGAAAAATCTCGTTTAAAAGATCCTTGTGGAGTTTCAAATTCGTCGCGGTCCCGTCTTAATCAGTAGGCTATGTAGGACACGTCTAGAAAAGCACCAGCCAGCTGTTTCGATATTCTGGATCTTGTCACAGGTGTGCCTTCCTCAGACACCTGCCGGGTTCCGATCCCATGACTTCCGGATGCCAGCAGGTTGTGCCACTAAGCCGTGGGTAAAGGCCGCGGACATGCACGACTGACAGTTGACTACGATATGGTCCGGCTCGTCCTCCAATGATATGCCAGTTACGAACTGTGCAGAGGGCAGTAGTTGGCCCCACGAGCTAGGACTTTCGGCATAGCGGATGTGTACGATACAGTGCTTAGAAGCAATACTGACGGCTTTTTTAGTCACTAATGAGTAATGGGGACTTTGTATAATTTCAGAGGTAATTCGTCGCAGTCCCCTCTCAAACAGCAGGCCTTGACACGTCTGGAAAAGCACCAGACAGCGCTGTTTTGATCTTCTAGGAGCGTCTTCCTTGGACTCCTGCCGCGTTCCCACCCCACGACTTCCGGGTGGCATCAGCTTGTGCCACTAAGCCATGGGTGACGGCCGCGGACCTGCATGACTGACAATTGACTACGATATAGTCCGGCTCATCCTCCACAGTTTCGTCCTTGTTTGGACTTGGCTCAAACTATAATGAAAAATGAAATTCCGCATTAGTATCAAGGGAAACCTCGTGTAAAGGAAAATTATGGAATTGTTAATTCCAAGTTAACAATCGATTTCCTACTCTATCTGCACGGATCGGGGATACACTCCAGGTCAACAGAAATTGTTGTTTAATTTTTACGAAGCGTCAACTGTCTTAATGTATCTAACATAGGAGAGTACTTGAAACCTCAGTATCGTAATGAATCTCCACGTTTGTTTGCATTAACTAGCTGCAAAGGACGATCGGAATGTGTGCATGAACAAAATGCCGGAAGAGAGGAAAAATGCACTCCCGGGAATCGCAAAGACAAGATTGACAGCTTCGAAACGCCCAACCACGGTAAGCTACCAGTTTCGTTCGACACTGACGGTGCAAGAAGTGTTTCGCTCACCAACTATTATTGGCGGTTTGTATGTCGCAACGAAATGGTGTAGTATAATTTAGACATGTTACTCCGTGAACAGCCCGGACAGTCGCTACAGCATCCTGTTGTGTACAGTCGGCCGTCTCAGATGAGTATCAGTGGAATAGTGACAAAGGAGCAACAAGAGTGTTATGGAAGTGAACCAATACGTTTAGTATATTCAAAAAAACACAATTATGTTGCACTAAACCGCCATGGCCTGCATACCAACCTCGGAAACCAAAGGGTCAAAAGTGCTGTGCAACTGTTTGTGCGCATAGTCCACAAGTAACAACAAACCAAGTACACTGTATGTAGCAAATCTAAATCAGTACTTGTAGACAAACCGCTGTTGATTCACCTGCGAGAAGAACAATAGCACAATATCAAAGACGGTGCTCCACAGTAGCGCTACTGATGATGACCACGTGGAAAGTACCGTAAGATTTCGGGAACAGGAAGAGGTGAACAGGTAGGACTACTCCAAATAGGGTGAGAGTAGTCTACAATCTAAGCTTGGCGGTAGAACTGTTCGCTGAGCTTGGCAATTTTGTTATAAACGTTTCGTCACCAATCGAGGTGACATCATCAGTGCGTAGTTGAGTGGCGTGCAGTAGCGTACAGGAGCCTCGGTGAGAGTGCGCTGAGCGTGGTGTGCCTGCGTTTTTATACCGCCGTGGTTGCCCGTGGAGGCGCGCAATCCTATTGGTTGGGACTTCGATCCGCGTTCAGCTTGGTTGATGGTCAGATGACCTTTGACCTTGCCGCCTTGTGTTTCGCGACCTTTGTCCGCTTGCTCTTGCGAGCGAGACTGCCGTCCGTTCTGGTTGCCTAGTCACATGTTCCACCGGATTCAGTCGGTCGAGTTGGCGATCGTACGCTTATAGTGTTGCGTATACTGCGTCAAGTTCGATGTGTCGATTGATTGAATGCGTTGTAGAGTACCAGGCTTCCAAAAACTCCCTCGCATGTTTTGTACTTCCATGTGCTAGGGTCTTTACATTCTCCAGCTCGAAATGGTGGCCTTCTTGATCTTCATGCGCAGAAACCAGTGAGTGCGGATCAGATCATTTGACGGCCGCCTTGTGTTCCGTGATTCGTATCCCAAGCTTTCTTCTAGTTTGTCCGACGTGGTTTTTATCGCAGTCGCTGCATTTTATCTGACAGATGACATTGCATTGGTCGGCTTGCTTGACTTTTTCTTTGGGTCTTGAGATCAATTTCCTTAGAGTGGCACTTGGCTTGTGGGCCACAGTGATCCCATGTGACTGCAGCAATCTTTCTGTTAGTTCGGAGACGTTCTTGAGGTAGGGGAATACTATCCGTTTGATTGCTTGATCAGAGGACTGCTTCTGTTGTTGCTGAGGCGTTCGTTTGTTTAAGCTTCTTCTGATGAAATGTCTCGGATAACCGTGGCTTCTAAACACTTGCTATAAGTGTTTTTCTTCCTGTTTCCGCAATTCGGCTGTGCTGCAGTGCATTTCCGCTCTTTTTAACAGGCTTTGAATGCAGCTCTTCTTGTGATACATCGGATGGTAGTTTAATATCTGGTCCGAATGCATTTTCTTCCGACAAACGCACGTGTGCATCGATCCGTCTGTATTCCTAATGACCAGTACATCCGAAAATGGTAGCTTGTTAGCCTCCTCTAATTCAATCATAAATTTGATATCCTCGGATTCTGCAGAAGCCGTAATGCAGAAATTTTAGCGCATTGCACTGCCATCTATCAGCCCAAAACCCTGGATACGATACGCGGACGACAAGTTTATCATCGTAAAACGGGACAGAGTACAGGCCACGCACGATTTGCTCAACAGCACATTCGAGGATATCAAATTTGCGATTGATTTAGAGAAAGATAACAAGTTGCCATTTTTGGATGTATTGGTTACAAGAAATACAGACGGATCTCTGTAAACGTGCGTATATCGGAAGAAAACGCATACGGACCAGATATTAAACTACCACAGCAACCACCCGACGAATCACAAGAAGAGGTGCGAACAAACCCTATTCAAAAGAGCGGAAACGCACTGCAGCACAGCCGAATTGCGGAAACAGGAAGAAAAGCACCTATATCAAGTGTTTAGAAACAACGGTTATCCGAGACATTTCATCAGAAGAAGCTTAAACAAACGAACCTCTCAGCAACAGCAGCGGTCACCTAAGTAAGCAAACAAACGGATAGTGCTCCCCTACATCAAGAACGTCTCCGAACTAACAGAAAGATTGCTGCAGTCACATGGGATCACTGTGGCCCACAAGCCAAATGCCACTCTAAGGAAATTGATCTCAAGACCCAAAGAAAAAGTCAAGCAAGCCGACCAATGCAATGTCATCTGTCAGATAAAATGCAGCGACTGCGATAAAAACCACGTCGGACAAACTAGAAGAAAGCTTGGGATACGAATCACGGAACACAAGGCGGCCGTCAAATGATCTGATCCGCACTCACTGGTTTCTGCGCATGAAGATCAAGAAGGCCACCATTTCGAGCTGGAGAATGTAAAGACCCTAGCACATGGAAGTACAAAACACGCGAGGGAGTTTTTGGAAGCCTGGTACTCTACAACGCATTCAATCAATCGACACATCGAACTTGACGCAGTATACGCAACACTACAAGCGTACGATCGCCAACTCGACCGATTGAATCCGGTGGAACATGTGACTAGGCAACCAGAACGGACGGCAGTCTCGCTCGCAAGAGCAAGCGGACAAAGGTCGCGAAACACAAGGCGGCAAGGTCAAAAGTCATCTGACCATCAACCAAGCTGAACGCGGATCGAAGTCCCAACCAATAGGATTGTGCGCCTCCACGGGCAACCACGGCGGTATAAAAACGCAGGCACACCACGCTCAGCGCACTCTCACCGAGGCTCCTGTACGCTACTGCACGCCACTCAACTACGCACTGATGATGTCACCTCGATTGGTGATGAAACGTTTATAACAAAATTGCCAAGCTCAGCGAACAGTTCTACCGCTATCTGAACAAGCTGAGCTACCAGTCTTTAATTTTATAGTCAATAATCCAGGCTTGTTGAACAGTGTTTCTTATCTTTCTAGTACGCTAATTGACATCTTTGAACACTGTGTCACCCGAGACATCCTACGTAAAAATAGGTTAATTACCAGAGGCAACAATAACTATCGTCCTTCGACGAACCCGTGTGGAACAAATGTCACCTTATGGACCAAGTGAGAAAGCCGAAAACCTCTATGATCCTTTGATTAGGAGGCTCAAGCCGCTTCGTTACTCTGGCTATCCGCTCCTAGTACAGTTCACGTGAGTTGTGGTGTGGCTGTCTTCCGGAGTCTAACTGCGATGTATCCACAAAAATAAATAATAGATCCCCCTACTACTTACAATTAGCCGACATACGTCATGACTGGCGCAATGAACACCCATCAAGGTGAGCGCTCAGATAGGCCTTGCTGAAAATGATAAGAGGACGAGTAGCATTCCAATGGTTCAACGTCGCCTACGTTGCGCAGACGATTGCAGTAAAGTCCTTAAGCTCAGAGTAACGTTCTAGCTGCATTAGATATTACTGTCCGCAATGTGTAGACAAATCCGTCCAAGAAGTGAGACAGACAAACAAAGTTGCTGACACAATTTGGTTCTGCCACACATGTCAAGTCATTCCAGTTATCAACCGTTTATCTTTGCTCATGAGAAAGTGCGATAGAATGACTAAGATAATCGCGCATTTTGTAAATACTAAGATGGATCCCACGAAGGTAAATATGGCCACGGTAATGCCTCAAACAGCCAAAGTAAGCTCCGAATCTAAGCCGAAGAAGAGAGTTAGACGCTCCAACCGCACTGCAGTGTCTGTGACTCTAAATCCCCTGCGTCACCTCACTCCCATAAGTGGACAAGACTCAAACATGCCTGCTTCAACTTCTCCACCCATAGACGCTTCAGCTGGAGATTCAGACATGACACCGACAGCTCAGACCCGAAGGCAATCAGGTGCAGATAACAAGCAGGTAACGTACCCATCGAGTGCCTCGACAAACACACAGGGAACGACACGTAAGTCCATCTTCTGCACCGAGCACACGTGAAGCAACGCAGCTTTCACCGTCAACTTCAGTGGTGCCTTCTAAACATCCCAAATTACCGGCAAAGACTATAAAGCGGACGCTCGCTAGATAAAGCCATACTGCGTTAGCTCTCGCGCGCACCAATGTTCCCGAGTTCAAATCTGGCACAATAAAAGATAAGTTGCAAGACAATCGCAACCAGCGGTGTGCCATCTGCGATGCGATCGGTATTCGGGTTGAGCCAGCAATGCAACAACGCGTAGCCAGTCACCCGACCTCAGTGCACTCTGGTGAACCTCGAATTCTTCGAGTAACAGATGACTAAGCAGATGCGACAGAGGCTGTCCTGCTCTCAACAGTTCGTCGTCGCAACTCACCGAGCGGAGTGCGCATATTACCCGATCTACATTGGAAAGATCGCCCAAAAGAAGCAATTGACCAACGCGACATTTCTAACAGAGATAACAAGAAAACAATACTTGTTCACGGTGTTCCTGAGCTTCTGCATCCTTCTGATCACGATGCGCAAACACATGACCGAGAGCAGTGTTGCTACATCCGCGAAGCACTCTCTGTTGACTATGTTATTGCCAAATCCTTGACAAGAGTTCCGTCATCACCTAACTACAAGGGCTGCGGTCCAAGGCTAATGTAACTAATACTACACTCCGAGGGAATGACGCAAGTTATGTGGGATAACTGATTAAAGTTTCGAGCCAGGTTGCCAACAGAGATCCGGCTAGAGGCAGCAGGCGAACGGACAAAAGTCGGAAGCAATTTGATGGAACTTGCAAACGCTGCAAATTCTTTATCTGCACAGACCTGCAGAGAGACCGACACAACAGCACCAACGACAAGCAACAGTACAGAACACAGCGCGAGTGAAACGTCTGTTCAGGAACGCTCAATAATGCCATGCAACTTGACTGAAATTCAGAAACCAAAAAACGATTAATGGCAGGTCACCTAACGGCCGGCCTAAAAACAAACACCGAGTTGGCATTCATCAACGCGCTACTAACAACAAAAAGACTATACTGTTTGTACACAAACACTCAAGGCATTCTAAGTAAGTTGGCTGAACGTAAAGAAATCCATGCCTCACTACCGCGCGACCTCGTCATGATTACAGAGACCTGATTAAACCTTGAGATAACCGATTCTGAGATCAATATATCCGGTATGTCGCTACTTCGGAACGATAGAACCGGAAGGGGTAGTCGTGTGATTCTTTATTCTTATACGAACCTCCGATGTGAAGTTATCGACTACCCGGAAATCCGCGCTCCTGATTCGCTTTGGTGCCGTTTGTGGTTGCGAAATAAGGACACATGTCCACTAGCCGTGATCTACCGCCCACCAAACTCAATGTCGGAAATGGACTCCAAACTGAACCACGTCTTTCAGTTTGTTTTGAACAAGTCCTACACCCACATTTTTATCGCGGGAGACTTTAACGTGCATGACATAGAAACGCCAGCAACCGACGGTACGCAGTTTAAAGCCTGCTTGCAAGAGCTAATTGCTAGCCACCCTCTGTACAACCACGTAACCTCTCCCAGCAAATTTCGAACTGCTAACAAGCCATCGATACTGGATCTTGTGCTCAGTAATGAAGAACTCATGGTTGACGGGATAGTTACAAGCACACTACTGGGTCGTAGTGATCATGTTACTCTACTCTTCGACCATATATGCTATGCGGAGTATCCTGAAAAGGAGGGTGATAAAGTGCATGCTGTCACACACTATAATGTGTTATCTACGCTCGGTAAGGATACAACTTGGACTTTCTTAACCGAATGCCCCCCAGATGTAGCCTGGGAAACCTTTACAAAGACGTTTAGCACATTGGTAGCGCACGCATCGGAACAGAAGTCCTTCCAACGTAAAAAGAACTACAAGTCATTCTTGAGGATCAGAACACGTAAATGTGTGTCCCGGATGGATTTGGCACGGCGAGATCACAAGGACTGCTCGAATGCCGAAACCTGGACGGCATAGGTGTCACATCGTAACTTCTGTGTGAAACTGATCCGCGAAGACTAGGTCACTCATCAACAGGAGTTAATGAAGCGATTCTGCACGAACCGCAAATTTCTGTACAGGCACCAAAACTACCTTCGACAGGTGAAGTGGGGGATTCCAGCACTAGTCACGGCTGATGGATTCATGCGATTAGCAATGAAAGCAGCTGATCTGCGGCTTCATTACTCCAAAACTTTCTAGCAGGTAACCAGCCCAAATATTCTCCTCGTTTCAATTAGTCCACCGTCGGGTTTAGACAACATCACCTTCAATGCGGAAGCTGTGTTGAAAAGTTGTTATCCTTGCGTATCCACAGTTCTCCCGAGTCGAAAACATCCGACCGAAGGCTCTGCAGGCGGTAGCTAGCAGAACCACTGGCTGTTTTCTATCAGCGATGTCTAGAAGAGAATCACTCCTATTCATAAAGGAGGTAGCCGCACCGACCCTAGCAACTACCGTCTAATAACACTACTTCCCGTACTATCCACAGTGATGGAATCGCTCATCGCAGATTCGCTGATGCAGTATCTGGAAAGCCACAACTTAATAGCCCCAGAGCAACATGGCTTCCGTCAAAAGCGTTCATGTAATACTAGCGTATTAATTTCACGTAATAGCTGGACTGAAGCCGTTGATGATAGAGCAGGAGTCGATGTCATTTACCTGGACTTCACAAAAGCGTTTGATCGCTTAGACCATGGAATTCTTCTTCAAAAGCTTCGGAACTACAGCACTGACGACCCAATCCTGAGTTGGATTACCAATTTTCTACACAAACGACGGCTAGATGTGAGAGTCCGAGAATCATTGTCCGATGCAATCGATGTGGTGTGTGGTGTACCACAAGACTCGGTGCTTGGACCTCGTCTATTCTTGGTGTTCACTAACGATTTGGCGAGATCAATTGCCGACGATTTCCTATTTTTCGCTTATGATACCAAGATATGGCGAAGGATCAGAGGACCGGACGACCACGAACGGCTCCAGTGCGATCTTAACAATTTCGAACTAGTCAGTTCAAAGCGCTATACCATCCAACGTAGACAAATGTCGCGTTGTACAGTCACGCCAGACATAAGTACACATATTTGCTTGGGACTAACGGATTGCAGACCAGCTCCCAACAACGTGACCTTAGTGTGCTCGTACAGAGTGACCTCAACTGTTCAAAACAGGCTGAGGTAGCTGCAAAAAGAGGCAACCACCACGTCGGCATGCTTCGAAGGGCATTCGGGAGATTAGACCCATCAATCTTCCTAATGATGCACAATTCCTGTGCTCCCGCATGTTGAAGACGTTATCCGAGCTTGGCAACCTTGGTTGAAACGCGACCTAACGGCGTTAGAGGTACCACAACGGAGAGCACCGAAGAATGTAAAGGGCCTGCGCTATCACTCTTACCACCAAAGGCTGAGGTTGATAGGAATTTTCAGCGGACGCTATCGAAGGCTGCACGCGATCTCATATTAGCGTATCAGATACTGAGTGACCCCAACCAAGTATGCGCCACTTGCTGAAACAGCAACAACTCGCAGTTCAGGAGTAACTGCTTACATTGATGTTTTTTTATTAAACTATTGATCTCGGCAGACGTTCGGTAGATACCCAACATATAGTTTGATTTTATCATATTTACCCCAGCCATCCTACGGAAGGTGTCAGGCACTTGTTTTTATCCCGTGATAAATCATTGTTCAACTGTGAGACTATTGGGATAGAACCCAAAATAATTTAATCACCAAAAGAATGTAGTGTTAACAGCTTGACAACCGGTTGCACACGAGCAATGCTTCTGGAATGCGAGTGGTTGATCATGAAGTCACCCATCGTCCCAGTTCCCTCTGTTTCACCATCTCATATCACTCTCAATCACGCCGTTTAGTTGGTCATGGCTACGGAAAGATGCTGAAACTTACAATTACTCTACTACGTCGGACCCGCAACGGTCTCACAGAATAACATGTAGTGCTTTATTTCCGTTCCACATCATACTTAGGTTAAGCACACCGTACTAGTCTTCATGCTTAAGGTCATTTTACTGTGTACGCTTTCATTTATAGTGATGACGAAATCGCTTGTTGAACGACTGCGCGACTAGTAGCCGGACCGGACTTTCCGCCGTGTGTCATCGAATACAAAGTACCACAAGTGGAGGACCATTTACCTAGCTAGACTAACGCACGGGTGGGACGGCCACATAAATCCGAGCCGCTCAAGGCTCGCAATACTGTGATGAATTCTGGTCAGGTGCTTGGAGGTCTCGTCTCGCACTTAGCGTGAGGGTAGTCATAGTTAGAACCAATGCATAACACAATAACCGTTAAAATTGTCCCGAATATCCTTTAAGTTGAGTTATAGGTAGAGCACATTTCGTAGCAGAACCCCTATCTCTATTAGTGATATAAATCTGCCTGAGCTGTTATCCGAGTCGAACAGAGCTCAGCTGATGGTAGAAATATTTGAAGTAATGGGATTACATTAGACTAGCACATATGCAGCTGTTAAAAATACTCGGAATTTGGCTATCCAGTGCGTCTCATCTGACTCGTCTGGTGAGATGAGAGGAGAAAGTGGGCATTTGCTAACGGGGAATGAAATCAGTAGAGGGACCATCGACACTGACTGGTTTCTTGCCACGGTTTCCGCTCCCTCACCGCCGTAACGACTAACGCTTTGCAGTAAGTGATGATATGGTTAAGTTGATGACCCGACATTAAACGGATTCCATGTTACCCGTGCGTAGCATATGCGTATGGTAGGTCTGAGGTTTCAGGAGAAATGTACCAGACTTCATCGGAAAGTTCGGAGATGGCGTGGTATCAGTGATTGTGGACAATAAGGAACTACCAGGAATATACATTATTTTGTCATTATATTGGCGATTGCGAAACTACTATCCCACCAGCCAGGTGCAAGCTTTCAGTTTGAAGGGATTCAAAAGGAGGGACCAACCGACATCATAAGCAAGCTGTGTTCTATGAGGCAACTCACTTGGAACGTCACCCGTGCACACCCGGTAGATGATATGAACTCATGAAGAGTAGAACCGTTTATGGCTCCAAAGCATAACTACAGGATATGGGGAATTTAGGGATGAATAGAGATTGGTACCAGGGCATGAGGAGATCTGTATTATCTTTTGCTTAATAACTCAAGTCTCTCCGCAAGTGCAACAACTAGCAAGCAGTGCGAATCAGTATAAGCGATCCGGCCATCGCGGTCTCAAATGCTAGCGACTGGAAATACTGCTGCTTGCCAAAACGCGGCACTAAGATGTAAGCGAAGTAAGTATTTGAGTGTCTCGGCATTTGTAAATGCAAGCTGCAAAACATAATTAAACACACCGCGTTGCTGCCAAACTGAGCCATTGCGACATGTCCATATTCTCATCTCAATTGCAGTATGAAGAGTTGCTGAGTCGAAAAGCAGGACCATACTCCACCGATCACTACTTGAAATTCAGAAGGGAGATGGTGAGAATACTAACATATTGTTGGTATTTAGGTGATTATGTGCTTGTATAGGTCATGCTTTTTCACCGCATTTAGGCTACATCGACTTACAATTAAGCTAGATATTCTTAACCTGGATTTGCTCAGTTTTGTTATTCTGCGGCATATTCCGTGTCAAGTTGGCGGGTTAACTTTCCTTCTAATTTTGTGTTCGCTATTTGATATCCCCGGTGTGGCTGCGCTCGATGTGAATGTTGACAAGGTGACTACGTGTCTAACACCCTCCACCACGATTAGTAGCTCCAGGAGACTGGAAATCGTTACTTGGGGGAACGGAGTGCACGGTCTGCGTTGTCGTGCTAGGCTCAAAGAGTGGTTCCATCTAGTGTGGAACGGATTACGGTCCAGCCACCGCCTTGTGTACGTCCGGTGTGCATGAGTTCCCAATTAGACAAGAATGTTGCCGTGCATGTTGAAGGATGGTGGGCCGGCTCCGTTGATGAAACGTGGCTCCCATCTACGTCCTTCGGGTATACACTGGATTTGGGGTGTGTGGCTGGTGCAGCGCAAGCCACCCATGGTCCCTCTGTAGGCGAGGCGTCCTGTGGCTGTCCGCACGGAGGCCTCAGTGATAGGCAAATCCGGAACCGGATTCGGCCAACCATGTCCTCACATGGTTCCAAATGTTTAATCCCCAGATGAGTTGACAATATCGATGTCGTAGTAACAGGTAGTGTTCTTTGTGAATGCTGGTCTCCACATACACTTTAAATCCAGTGACCGTAAATCATCTTGATGATTTGCTGAGTGGACTCATCTGACAGACTTGAAAATTACTGTCAGACATAAGATTATTCCCGTGACGTGACGACTCTGTTGAAATCCCGCTGGTGTAAAAGGTGCATAGTTTGTGGGGTCCGCTTATTTAAGCCGTCCTGTTTGCTGCCTGGTTCGCGCTACCATAAGCAACCGTTTGAAACTTCGCCCGACTTTTAAGTATGTCCAGGAGATATTGATGTGCATGTTTATAGGGTACTGCGTGGAGCAACACTGTGAGCAATCCTGTTTGTTTTCGTGCTCTGCTTCACAACAGGATTTGTTTTGCCCGTCTTTTCACATCAACTAATTTTCTCCATATAAAGAAAACAAAGGGGAAACAGCCAGACGATAGAATATAAAGTCGGCCAGATAGCGTGCACACACATCGAATTGACCTAATCAGTGGCTTTCATCTTTAAAGATGTTTTCGCGGGATTTGCTTGCTGACACGCATAGCTTAGGATAGTACTATAGATCGACTAATGCTCAAATGCTATTCACAATCAAAAGAGCCGGGATAGTGACAATAGTAAGTGTAGAATAGCAGGGATGCTATCCGAATCCAAAGCAGCATCCATTGTATGGGTCTGAAGATAGCACACATCAGTCCCGAGCATGGAAGGGTATCAGACTTGGGGGAACACCAGTACTTTGGGCTAAAGGAGAACACACAGTACAGCAGGACTAGAAGAATTGGTGCACGTTTATGGAGCAGCCCATATATCAAAGCTGAAGCTAATACAAAATGCAGACGGGTGCCGGTATTATGCGCTGTTGATCAAAAGTAGAAAGAAGTGTCGGCAGTGTGTCTACCGACGCTTTGCTGCCCGATCGCTCTGTAGGCTCGAACTCGCGACCTCCGAGTTGCGGGGCAGACGCCTTGTCCTTTCGGCCACGGGCCGGCTTGATCAACAGTAGGTTGGTATAAAGACGGAGTGGCAAGCCAACGAGCAGTGGGTTGTCACCTGCCAACGGAGACGTCCTATCGTAATCAAACCGAGCTCGGCTTAGTGTCCGCAACTTGGTCTCACTAAGAACAAGTTCTGATAACAAGGGACCATTGATCTCTCCTGATTGCCTAGAGAGAGGAGACTGATCTTGAGTTTACCTGAATTTCGTCCAATGGACATGTTAGTAGGATAGAGCTGACAACTTCTACGGAATGGCATCTAGCATGGTTCGGTGAACTGTGGGAATCAAGAACAACGGTATCGTATTCTGAAGTGAGTACCGGTGGATGTGCCGTATGCGGCGATCAATCAGCTGTAGCACAAACAGTCGATGCCAGGGGACTGATTGCAATCTAACCCTCCTCTGCAATTGGTGTCAGAATGATCACGTAGAGTCTACTGAATCATGTCGTTTAATCGAACAGCGACGCTCGCCGGTTTTGTAGTCTGTTTTCTCTTTGTCTATTGCGGTTGGAGCGAATCAGCTCGTTCATTGTCTCTGGCACCGATGAACCTCATCTGCAACAAGCTGACTGTCCACTGGTCCTACATCTGTCCTGTTGTTCTCAAATGTTAGACACCGAGACATACTCCTTTTCCGTCGGGACGCTGGGACGCTATTTATTGCCTTCAGTTATCCCCCGAACAAGATTTAGTGTGGTAGATGTGAATATTTGAATCCTCTAGTTTGACATGAGAAGCGTGTCGCCAATGAACTCGTTAAAGATATGACGACTGATAGATGCAACTAATGCTTTCTTTCCTTTGAAGGTTGGCGTTCCCCAACTACGTCAGAGGTTGGCCCAGGAGCTTCTGCGGAGCGATGCGCCACAAACACTTGTGCATTACCTGCGAATTCACGAAGATACACAGGAGGAGTGACCGTTGAATTCAAGTCCTCGGACGCAATAACTACAACAGACTTCATTCAGTGCAGTGGGTGCATCAGTAACACATCTTCTGAATAACACGAAACCACTTAGAAGCGCCTACAACAAATGCGATCTATACATACAGACAGCCTTATTTTGATTTCCGGTTTTATGCTCAGAGAATATCAAACAATAAACAGACGCTGGTGAACACGGTGGAATGCAAGATGGCACAGAAAGACTGTACGAATGACCATGTAAAGAACTTGCTTTAGGGATCAAAGAAGAGCCCGCGCATGAGCCAAGTCGGGCTATTTTCGACTACGTCCCCCTTGTCAATGTGAATGATTGAGTGAATGGGCTAGCAGCGGCAAGCCCGAGGGCAATCGGAGAAAGCCGCAGCGAGTGTCGGATCTGACCTAAGCCCTAGTAGTTTAATAGCATAACAAAAATAAGAACAACGATAAGCAGGTGAGAATATAAAGCCAGATTTTCAGGTATCACATACAAGACCTGAATCCAAATACGGCGGTTGGGAATAAGAAGTGGTAAGTACATCGAATTGGCCTAGAATGCCTGGAAGCATGTGGGGCTTTGAGCACATACGCAAGCAATCCATAAAATACAGCGCATACTGTCCTGCGAAGAACCTAAAGATGAACCGATGGACACTAGCGAATAGCGTAGAGAACCCTTGATGAACAAGTAACTATAAAGTAGCCCATGACAATAAAAATGTGGTATCACCGTCATTAAAAAACCAGTGAAACCCCGAACTGCTACCTCATTCAAGCATTATCAACAATGTGCTTGGCTTAAAATAAGTGATAAACAAACACATGAACTCACTCCCGGACATGAGGTGGTTGTGCTTTACAGCCGTTGAGCATGCGTTAAAAATTTATGTTTCGGATATATATATATATATATATATATATATATATATATATATATATATATATACATCCTTGTGCACATTAATTGAAACAAACTGCGAAAACACTGAAAAACCTTTTTTTTCAAAATTGTTATAATGAATTGCACTAATATACTCACATCAATACACAACATGACCTCCTCGACTTTTGAGTAGCATTTTAATACGGTTTGGCATGGAATCCACTAAATTTGAACAAACTTTAGCCCATCTTGGGTCCCTGTACCAAACTTGAATTAAAGCTTGATTAAGTTTCTCCTTCGTCGTACAGTCCATGCCACGAAGGCGTTGCTTGCAAATAGACCACATATTTTCAATGGGGTTTAAATCTGGTGAATTCCCAGGCCAGTCCAAGATGGTTATTTGATTAGTATTGAAAAAAGTCTTGACCATTTTTGATGTGTGGCACGGGGCCAGATCTTGTTGAAATACGCCAGATCCGTCAGGAAATGTCTTTTTTAGTTCTGGGACAGCTCTTCTTTGGAGAACTTCTATATATTGTGGAGAGCGCATCATGCCCTGGACTGGATGCAAGGCGCCGACGCCGTAATAACTAAAGCACCCCCAAAACATCTGCTTTTGTGGGTGTTTCACAAAGTGGTCAATGTGGGAATCACGAACCTTTTCTCCCTATGACCTCCGAACATACTGACTTCTCTGACCATGAACATAGAAATGGCTTTCATCGCTGAATAGGACTTTTCTCCAATCTTCTTTTGTCCAGTTTTTGTATTTTAGTCCCCATTTGTAACGCTTAACTTTCATTACTTTTGTCAGAAGTTGTTTTTTCACAGGCCGTCTGGCTTTCCGACCAACTTCCAGGAGTCGCCTGCGAACCGTTGAAGAACTGATTTCTATTCCTTTCTCCCCCAAATCACGTTTTAATGCGTCACTAGTCTTTCGAGGATCTTTAACACTTTCCCGTATTAGGTAATCGTCATCCCTGGCAGTGGTTTTCCTCTTAGGACCACATTTCCCTTTGCGTTTTGGCGAAATGCATCCCGTTTCCTTTTTCATTTTGACCACACGGCTGACGGTTGCCGGACTGACGCCTACTATTCTTGCTATGTCCCTGTAGGTCTTGTCTGTGTGTTCGTGCAAGATCACGATCTTCATGCGCCTTCTAGGAGTCACGTCCATCTCAAACAATGACTGAATCACAAAAAAAGAAGTTGAAACAAAAACCTTACTAACCATAAAAAGTATGATGCAATCTTGGGTGATGTAACGACTAGACATGCGCAGTTATTACATCGTCTGATTCACAAACAATGATGAAATATCTATTCCCAAAATAAAATAAATAAAATAAATGCAAAACGGCAGCTTTCATGTATAAAAACATGATATTCATAGAAAAAGAGACACAATCGTAGTTTGTTTCAATTAATGTGCACAAGGATGTATATATATATATATATATATATATATATATATATATATATATATATATAATGAAGCACATGTACTAAGAAAACGAGAACGACTCACTATAGGTTTTATGAACGTTCGGAGACGCCACATGTAATTCTGCTTTGCAGCATCGCTTGGAACACTGGAATCCAGTGCCAGTGTCAAAAATAAATAGCTTGAAATATGGGGACTTCCTCCAAGCACCTTTGAGGTTACCTGTTGTAAAAGTCGGTCAAGCGAGTATTCGGCAGTCAACTCGGCCCAAATGACAGCACGTTTGACACGCAAAACGTGTCGGTATTTATAATGTCCATGCACCTCCATAAACGATGACCTTTTGGGGCCGATGAGACTCCGCCGTTGACCCAGTTGAACAAACGATGAAGAGCTTACCGTAGCGCACACACAAGCATCAACCATTTAGCGCCCAATGATCGAATCCGCCAGTTTCGTCTCCTATTGGCTGTCCAGTTCGCTCATTTGGCCTACATGTTCACTCTGATAAGACACTCCCATCACACTACACACCACTTAACAACATTGTGACGTGGCGGATGTGACTCGCCACTAAATAAAGTCACTACCTCTTGTCTTCTCAGAGACAATATATACCGGCAAGCAATCCGAGCATTGGATTCTGCCTTTTACTTCGGGAGTGTAGGGTCCCTGGTATGGCTTTCGTCGTCCGAAAGGCGTATGAACTGAATCTTCAGTTACTGGCTCCCAACGGGTGCGAAACCCTTATTTAGCCCTGCGGCGTTGTGGGTTAGGACTCTCGTCCAAAGGCTCGGGGCCGTGGCCAACTAAGCCAACCCACTTACTTCGGCCTACTGATGTACTATGGATCAGCACAAGTACGAGCTCCCTCGCTATCATGATCCACTGTCCTACGACTAAGTCAACTTTACAAACACACGTTCCCAATGTACATACTCTTTCCTTGTTTTACTCATCCCATCGTTACTTGATTCTTCAACTGTGAACAACCTTACTTTCGCCGATGAAGTTGTTCTCTCGCCAACCGTCAACTCAACTACACAGTCCTCGACAGGGAGCTGCCAGCCCCGAAATCTTCCATCTTCGCTACTGCGACCTGGAATGCAGTTCAAACTAGCAACCATCGATGTGCGCACATTGCTGCAGATCGTACAGCAAGCTGGACTTGCACGCACGCTGGAGACCCTGGAAATTGATGTCTGCTGTCTGAGTGAAACTCGACCGCAAGATTCTAACACAGCCTACCAGCTGTCGTCACTAGTCCAGCCACACACCCGCTTCCATCTTCGCCTTTCTGGTGATGCTGAGTCCGCCGTATCTGAGCAACCTGGTGTTGGAGTCGCCCGCAGTGCTATAGCTGAGGCCTCCCTCCTTGACTTGATTCCAGTCAACAGTCGCTTATGCGCTGTGAGACTTCGTGGCTCTTTTAAGGCTAGCAGGTATCGCGCAGACAAGCGTGCTCTTTTTGTGATCTCCGCCTACGCGCCCATTGACTCCGGTTTGGATACCGTCAAGGACCAGTTCTATCAACTTCTTTTGAGCTACTCCTAAGGGCGCCTAAAACAGACATGGTTGTTATGGCGAGAGAGTTAAACGTACGTATTGGTCGGCTGGTGCTATGTGAACGCCACCTCGGTGGACCGCACAGGTATGATGATGTTCGCACTGACAATGGAGGGAGATTGCTCAGTCTTTATGCTGACTACCAACATTTCCTCTCTAATAGGAGCTTTCGTCACCCTGGACGCTACTATGCCATCTGGCGTCCTCCATCGTCAATCCGACGCTGGTCACAAATTGATTGCATAGCCACAAGTCGCAGGTGGCGCAATAGCGTACGCGATTGCTGATCATATTGGTCAATTTGTGTGGTTACCGATAATGCACTGGTGTATGCGATAATTTGTAGCCGTTTCGGCGATTCAACCAGGGTCAAGCAAACCCGACTCAACATTCACAAGTTGGAGGACCCGATGGTGAAAACGCAGTATTAACAGAGGCATCGCGAGAATCGCTCTACCCCATGCTCTGGATGTTGATCAACACTTGACAAATTTCCAAAAAGCAATGCTGTTCGCCGGCTTGTCCAGTTGCGGACTCACTCGCTGCACAACCAGAAGCTGGATTTCGTCACGATCCTCGGAACTGCTATCCAATTTAACTACTCAACATAACCTACTGTGACGCCTCTTTTCCCTCGGATGGTGCTTGGCCTATCACCACAGATGCTCCTACCGAAACAGAGATCCAAAGCGCAATCCAATCTTTGAAGTGTCATAAAGTTCCCGGTCCTGACAGTCTACCCCCGGCTCCATTCAAAGATCGAGGGAATGCACTTACCAACGAAATGCTATCACTCTTCACGAGAATTTGGACTGATGACAAAGTCCCAATTGCATGGGGAGAATCGGTCATTGTCCCGATTCACAAGAAAGGCTCCCGCGAGAATTGTGCCAATTACCGCGGAATTTCGTTGTTCTCTGTTGCATTCAACATTTTCGTGTCTGTTCTACTCCGTAGCCTCTCAACGAGTAGAGAAGGCGTTTACCGAGAGGAACAGGTCGAGGTTGCATTGACCACATTTTCACACTCCGTCAACTTCTTGAATTTCGTCACGTCCACCGACGGCCAACAATCGTAGTGTTCTTGGACATCCGAGCGGCTTTGACTCAGTAGATAGATCTCCGTTGTGGAAATATCTACTGCCTGACAGGTTTATAACCATCTTGAAGGATCTCTACAATCACATGTTGGCACCCTTTCCACTTCGTTTGCTGTCGCCAGCGGCATGCGCCAAGGTTGCCCCATCTCACCTTTCCTCTTAAATTTCGCCATTGAAGAGGTCGTCCAACGAGCATGGGAAGGCCCTCAAAACTGCGGTATTGAGCTTCTCCCAGGTGACAATGTCGCGGACTTGGATTACGCCGATGATATCGCTTTGCTCGGGGACGATCCACAAGCCGTCCAGAGCGCTCTGAACCGCTTAGCGATGGAGGCATCTAAGTATGGCCTGTGTTTCACGCCAGGCAAATTTAAAGTACTACTCTAGGATTGGAAGATGCCTGTGCCTGCCCTCACCATTGCTGGTAACGTCCTGGAACAAGTCCACTGCTTCACTTATCTAGGGAGTTGCATTACAGCTGACGGCTGTATTGGAGATGAGATCTCACAACGGATCACAAAGGCTCGCTTTGCATTCATCAGACTGAGACACTTGGCGCCGTCGCGCCGTCTCAAACTCAAGGGCAGGGTATACGTTCTCACTGTCCGTGCGGTCATCTCGTACGGTTGCGAGGCCTGGCCTACTCGCTCGGAAGACATAAAACGATTGTCAATTTTCGACCATCGATGCCTACGTAGGATTGCTTGCGAGTAGTGGCAGCATCACGTGAGCAACGCAGAAGTTTGAGAGCGAGTGTTTGAAGCAAACAGCCCATGCCTCCAACGATTATTCTCTGCCACCGCATGCATGGGCTAGGCCACGGTTTGCGCATGCCAGCCTTATCGCCTTCCCCGTCGAGCGTTATTTGTGCACCCCAGAAGCGATTAGAAAAAGTGCCGCGGTAGACCACCAATGAGGTGGAGAAGGAGCATGAAGAATGCAACTTCAAGCTTAGCATCCATCGGACGGATATGCCTTCCAGGATTGGGGGCCACGCGATTCCGACTGCCAGTGGTTAGAAACGTTGGAAACTATGGCGCGCAACCGACATCAGTGGAGACAATGCTGTTCAACCGTGTTATCTATTAGTTACGGTCTCATCGAACATAAAACTCCAGAACACACAAAAAATCAAAAAGCGGCGTGCGTAAAACCGAAAAAATCGTTTTCTAATGCTGTGTTTCGTTTCTCCCCTTTGTTTCGCCATGTCTCTGATGGCACATTATCTGTAATCAGATTACGAATAAACTACTACTACACACCATGCAGATAGTATCATGGATGGTAATCATAATTCGCATTCAAGCGAGCACAATGATAGATCACGAGTAGGGCAGCGAAAGCTTCACATGCTTCCACGGATAGAGAACTGAATCGGAGCATACGAAAAGCTGCAGGGTTGTCACGTTCGACGGTTCTCATGTGAGAAATAAAGACGCAGCCCTTCCCCCCCGCCACACACTGCGTTCCATGCATTCATGTAGCCAAAAATATTTCGGGGCACCCCATATCATGTGCTAAAGCGAAGTGCGGTATCCAACCTCGTTTCGACAATAAACAAAATGGGGGTAACTGAATTCAGGAAACCGTTTTAGTGCGCATAACTCCGCACTCGGCATTTTTGCTGGACCTAATGTTTACGAGCTGCGAGCAGAAGCTGAAAAAGATCAGAATCCTCGAACCTCTGGCGAACAGTGACCCCTGCTCCAAGGTGGCAAGCACAGAATTGGCGTTACCATATTGCAATCAACGGAAGCCGACAATCAACCATTGGAAGACGGACTTCAAAGGGCTCGTCCAAGCCGCAAGTCAGACTGATTGGACACTACCACAGGGTGCGTCGCTTGAGGCCGGTTGGCCATTAATGTAGGGGAAGCTTAACTCGCTATGTACACGGTTCGTTCCCCTTAAGTATTCAAAAGTCGGACCTGTCAAACCACATTGGTTTGACACGGAATGTAGACAGTTAGCGAGACGACGTCGCAAAGTTTGGGATAGGTACATTAGCTCAGGTTATGGTGAAGATTACACGGCGTACAAGAAACAGCGTAACTTACGTAACGCCGAAAGATCAAGAAACGCTGGCAGTTCGAAGAGCAGCCAACATCCTCGGCCACGACCGCCCCAAAGAGAATAGTTGCCTACTTGAAACCTTAACTGAAACCTGGGGGCGACCTACCGATCTTAGAGAGCTTGGACAGACGCTCATTTCAAGGGCAGACGCATTGCCTACGAACTTCCTCACCGTAGTTTCCAGTAAACCAGCGGCTGTTCCAGTACCAGCACAGACTGCGCCAGTCTTGCTCGACAGCCTACAATGTGATGCAGTCGAAGTGTATCAACTACTAGCCAACCTCGATGGTGCAAAGCTCCCCGGACCAGACGGACTTCACCCACTAATACTTAGGTCCCTATCGAATGTCATCACACCAGCCGTGACAAACCTACTTAATAAATCACTCTCTGAAGGATCTGTCCTCAACGACTGGAAATGCCCGATAGCGAGACCGCTTCCCAAGAGTGGTGATCAGAGTAAAGTAGGGAACTATAGGCCAGTCTGTTTGACTTCGATATTATCCAAAGTTCTTGAGAAGGTTGTGAAAAAGTGTCTGCTGTCGCTTTTCGAATCGATGGACGTATTGACGCCAGCGCATCACGGCTTTACGAAAGGGCGATCCTATATCACCAAATTGATGTACGCAAACCACCAGTGGGTACGAGCTCTCAACAAACAGAAGGATGTTGACGTAGTGTACATCGACTTTAGTAAGGCGTTTGACAGAGTGAACCATGAGGTACTCCTTGGTAAACTGAGGACATACGGCATCGGTGGCACGCTACTTCAGTGGTTACACGAGTTTATTGGGGGAAGAAATTTTAGAGTGTAGGTCAATGACTACCTGACAGAGTGGTTCCCAACGACCAGTGGCGTGCCTCAAGGAACTGTACTTGGGCCAGTATTATTTCTTATTCATATCAACGATCTTCCGCAGCAGCTCCAGTCATCATGTGCCTTGTTTACAGATGATTTGAAAATCTGGAGGATCATTGAGAACCAGGACGACTGCGCTTGCCTCCAGCATGACTTAGATCGACTGTCAAAGCGGTCCACTGAAATGCAACTCCCCCTTAACGCAAGCAAGTCGAAATTCATATCACCAGACGTCTAGCCACTCAATCATACACTTTGGACGGCCAGTTGCTCCACCCCAACATATCTGTCAGAGACTTAGGAGTGCTCTCGCGACATGGTGTGAGATCACTAAAAATACAGAGAAATTGTACCATTCGGCACTTCGTATGCTCTGGGCATTACGACGCAGTTTCTCAACATGGTCCGAAGAAGCCGTCCTTCGCATATTCACCTGGTTCATTAGACCAATCCTTGAATACGGCGACCCAGCTTGCCGTCCGATAACCCAGTGGAGCACGGAAAATCTGGAGAAAATACAGTACATAGCAGCTAGAATGATACCCAGGTTTCGAAAGCTTCCGTATGAAAAATGTTGTGAAAGGCTCGGACTCTACACACTATCCTACCGTCGAGTAAGAATTGGCCTTATTATAACCCATCGAGTACTACACTTAAATCACTTCCCAATACTCCGGCCAATATTTCACATACGGGAACCCTGTAACACCCGAGGACACGGTTACAAACTCAGGGACCCCTGCATTAACAAAGCATCACATCAGCTTTGTATAGAACGAAAAATCGTAAACTTATGGAATACACTACCAGGAGGATTCATAGAGGCCGATTCTGTGAAGTGTTTCAAAACACGTATTGACGATTATTTCGGAAACTTGTGCTTTTATGAAATGGTGCATTTACAATGCACAAAATACATCCTATACCCGGAAATAATGACACTAATACGAATTTCTAACCGAACAAGAATAAACAAGTAACTGACCAAACACTACCGCTGATGATTCGCAATCCAATGTTCTTGATGTTTAATAATTCGATAGTTGTACAGAAACATTTCTAGTTGCTCTTAAATATAGTCTCAGTCGCTAATGTTAATTGCGATCACGAAGTCTATATCCATGGAGACAAATACCAACCAGACTCAGCCTATCAGTGAGAATTTTGTGTCTCATCACCGACTAGGTGTTGAGCGGCCAGATGCTTTATCTGCAGTTCATATATTTAGCGTTACTACATATGATGATGGTAAGAGGCTGATAATTGAAAAAACCGATTACTTAAAAGCGCAGTGTAACACTAGAAGCTGCTGTTGCGGCATGCGCTGAGTCAATCACAAGCAACGCGCCCCCAAAGACAACACAAAAAGCAGTGTAGTACTGGGACAGAAAATGACGATTTTCACAGATCTGAATCTGGGATGTATTTCTGATGAGTTGAAAGGAATGAGAGTAAAGACAGATGGTCAGAATCTGCCGTAAAAGACTGGTCAAAGAGAAGTAAAGCCACGTTTCACAATGTTTTTCGAGTATATGACATGAGACTGGGCACAAATCTCTCTGTCGAGTTAGAGGACCAGACAGAGCAGTAATTCGAAACACACGGCAACGGTTTATTCAGTCATGCTCATGAGTATCGATACACTCCCAGAGCTTCACCAAAAGAGTCTCTTCGCAAGATGGTCGTTGGCGACAGCTGGTCACCAGACAATTTTTTGATCGCAGCGTGAACTTCAGTCGGGATATTTGCATCTGAGAGCAACAGGTAAAGACAGCCTGAAGGAGATAACAACCGAACGGCTTGAGGTAGAAACTCGTCGATAACCTAGAAATAAACGGAATAATGGTTATGTGGGTTGGATTAGTTAGTTGGAACGTCATAAGTACCATATGCTAGCACTAAGAACAACAGTTAAAAAGCAGTGTGCAAGGATGGCAGAAAATATAGAACTAGCATAAATGTATCCAGCAAAGAAATCTGATTCCGGCAACCCATTGTCAAAAAAATTGCTACTCAGAGATGCGCTGCATGAATCCATTTATAAGTACTCTGCCTATACTCCACATATGCTGCGACATTACATCAGATGGACCGTTTTCAGAACCAGCTGATAAGTTCGATATTTTCCATCTTTTGTTATTCTTTATTATATGAGCATCGAATAACGCAAATCCCCGGACACTGATACAAGGTTCCAAAAAATTCGCAACCGAATGCGCCCACACAGCTTCAACGGAATCTGTGGAAGTAGTTCCGTAAATATTCGCCAGGCTCCTTACCAATTCGTAAGCTAAATCCCTATACTTGGTACTGTAAATCAGTATGGTAATTGGAATAAAACTTGCTCCGCCTACTACCCCGAGTGTGTACAGTCCAAAGCATGCGTTTAGATGGGCATATTCAGAAGGAAGTTAGTTCATTCCACAATAACACGCTGCACGGCCCTATACGTATGTCTGCACAAGCTGATGAATGATAAGTGTTGTCTGCTTGTGACAATGCACCACGATGCGTTTCGCACATGTTTGAGCTAGTCAGGTATAGGGACAAGGTTCATTTTGAAGAAAGACGCAATACAAATTGACATCGCTTGCCGTAACTCATTGACACTAGGGGGGACTTCAGATGAACCTATAATGGACCTATACAACAAAGCGTAACAGAGACCAACGGTTGCAAACCAGTTCAGTTCAAGTGAACGACGAACAACTAATTTACACGGGTTAAGAAACAGTGCTTTACATGTCCCATTGTGTGGTTTTGCATGGTAATCGAAAAATGAAAAAAACAGTGGGTTGTTTACATTTAAAAAAAGAACGTTTGTTTCGCTGTAGTCCTGCGATCCGTGTAGTTTCACAGCACAAACATGTAACAGCAAATAAATCCAAAGTATATTCCAGGAGTGGGATGGAGATGCAGTACTAAGTAATAGAGTGTAGATGAGTAAGTGATACATGCAAACGTCGTATAAATATGGATGCTGATGATGCAGAAATGACCGATTCCGGAAGAGCATTCCACGGGTGACATACGCGGACAGAAAAGAAGTTCCTGCGATAATTCACGCGGCTGCACAGTTCTGCCAGTTTCAGTGAGTGATCTCTGAAGTTGGTATTACTGCTGAGCTGTAGTAAAGAGCGGTACCTATGATGTGGATCGTGCAGAATTAACTGCACCATTATCAAGTCACCACGTAAGCGGCGGTAACGTTCGCTGAATACCCCCAATCGTTCCATCCTCTCCTACTATGGAAGATGCTGCATTCCAATAGCGTACTTTGATGCCCGACTTTGGGACTGATCCAATACACTACGGTCATGTTTTAGCCATGGGTGCCAGGCTTGAATTGCATATTCGACATAAGGACGAACGTATGCACTAAGTATCTGCCAGAAAATAGAGCGATCTATTTTTCCGAACGCCCATCGTAATAGGCCCACATGTTGGTTACCAGTTTTGGAGACTTTCGTGGATTGTCTAGAACAACAAAGATCATCCTGAACCAGTATGCTCAAATCACATTCGGTGGCACCTCCCTGCAGCACATGCGTTCCTAGCCTGTAACAGTGGTTGCTCTGATATCGTATGGAGAGCACCTTGCATTTACTCACATTGAATGGCGGTGAATTTCGGATGGACCACTGATGTACCGTGTCCAGATCACTCTGAAGCGGTTTCTCGTCAGTATTCCCCTGAACCTTGCGCCAAATCTTGACTTCACCGGCAAACAGCAGGAAGTTAGAGGTAATTGCCTGTATGAAGTCATTGATAAATACCAAAAACAATCGGGGACCTAGCACCGAGCCTTGACGCACACTACATTCAACTTGTATGGGGTCAGCGAAGGAGCTCTGACCACCAATTGCCGCTGAATGAAATAGTTGGCTATCCAGCTTAGAAGAGGGTCGCCGATCCCGTAACGCTGTAGCATGGAAAGGAGTATGCGATGATCTAGACGGTCGAATGCTTTCGAGAAATCCAGGTAGATCACATCAACATCCTCTCCATCGTCAGCGGGCTGGATCCAGTTGCTCCATGCTATTAGCAAACTCGTTGTGCACGATCGATTTCGACGGAAGCCGTGCTGCTCAGGGATAATAATGTTAGTTTTCCAAATAGCTAACCAGCGCATCGGATATGATAGATTCCATCATCTTGGACAGTGTAGGGAGAAGGGAAACTGGGCGGTAATTTGAAGTCTCGGTTTTGCTTCCGCTTTTGTGAATGGGCTTTCACATGGCAGGAACTTGGTTCCGGTCTAAGCAGCGCTAGAGGACCTGAGCCAGCAGCTCTGCCAACTGACTTACTGCTGCTCCCAGTGGCTCTGGGAGAATAGTATCCACACCCAGGGATTTGTGCTTGCGTAGAGTGGTCACCTGCAAGACAGCTTCGGTGCTAAAGATGTGAATCCCGGTAGCGGGGCGATAAAAGCTGGAGGACCGTCTGATGGTAATACTCTCTGAAAGGTGGAGTCATACTGCACTCGCAGCGTGTTTGTTGCTTCCGTAGCCGTTCGTGTTGGGCCATCAGCCGTTGTGAGTGGCGGAACATCTTGCCTCACCTTCCGTAGCCCATTGATGTGGTTATACAGCAGTTTGTGATAGGTGCTGAAGATTTTTGCCATGTTCTGCTGATGCGCGGCTTTGTCCTGTCTGAGCGGTTGAGTGCTGTGGTTCCGTTGGGCTCCGTAGTCATCCCAGCTCTCTGGTGTTTGGGATAATCAATACTCTCGCCACGCTGCGTTGCGTACTGTCAGCACTATTCGAGTTGTGCTCCTTACGTAAGTAACTATTTCTCTGTCTCTGAAGCATACGTAACCAGCCGATTGAATTTGTTTACGAAATCGAGTCAGGCGACATCCGGCGGCTCTTCGGAGAGAAACGACCAGGTTGTTGCACTGACGAGCTGGGCTAATCGATCGTTGCATGTGATGCTTCGTGCCGTCTCATAGTCGGCATCTCGGTACTCTGAATAACAGATGAAGTTAAAACTAATAACTGCATGATCACTGCGACCTAAGTGGCAGTCTACAACCAGCGTACCAATCATACGTTCTCCGTTGGTAAGCACAAGATCAAGCACAGATAACCTATTACCTGTTCTGTGTGCGAAGTGACATGATTATAAAGCGGAACACTGGTTACAAGCTCCTGCAGATCGGCTTTAGATTGTTCTCCGCTCGTGGAAAGGGTTTCTAAACAATGTACTTTGAAATCACCCATGGTCAGGATGTGAGTGTATCTTCCTTTTAGAGTTCGCCGTAGAGCGGCCGCAATTTGGTAGTCTGTTCCAGATGTAGAGTTAGGGGGACGGTACAAAAAGATTACAAGGCAAGTGTCTCTGCCTCCTAACTGAAGGCGGCACCAAAGCGAATCGGGAATCAGCGAATCTGAATCCGCCATGATCTCGCACTGTAAGTCGCTGCGGTAACACAGAATTACGCCTCCTCCTTTTGTCAGTCTGTCGTTCCGAATGAGTGACATGTAAGGTAGCGAAATTGCAGCGTCCGTTATTTCAGTGTGTGACCACCTCTCCGTGATGCCGATGATATCACATTCCTGGAAACGTTGGCGATCTTTCAGTTCGGCCAACTTATTGAAGAGGCCCTGAGCATTCGTGTCCAAGCAGGCTAGTTCATGTCTCCAGTAGACCATAGGGGGTCGAAGAGGTTGGGTGTGTAGGACCGCCGACCGAAGTGAGGTCAGCCGTTATTCGTATTTTTGATGAGATTGATACTACCTCCATACCTTGCTCTGGCCAAAGCGCATCCCAACCCGCATCTAGATCCAAGCCAGTATCAGGTAAAGCAGCAATCATTGTCAGTACGTCTGCTTTTTCAGATGATCTCGTAACTGAGGTTGCAAAACATCTGCAGGCCTTAACCGAAGTTCCGATGGAAAGCTTTTCCGATTTTTTGCCAACTGTGTAACATATCCGTCGCTGTTTGTTCGGATTGAACCACGAGTTTTAGAATTCTCGGGCCGCATCCTCTATAATTTGGCGAGAGATGTAACCTTTTCAGCGACCACGCCGCAACATTATCCAAGGAAAGGCTACCGCGGATAAATCGCCATTGTGCTAAACCGTGATTTCCGGCCTCTTGACTATCTGTGTGAAGGAAGCTCTGGCACACCATGGATGAAGATAGTGTTCAGGCGATCAGGCTTGCTGTGTCCTTCTTTGGAGTTTCTTTTGTACTGTCGCATGTTCCACGGAACATCACGATAGATACATATCCCATACGATCCATGGCGCAGCGTGTTTGCGGCGAGCAGAACGTTTTCCACATTCAAGTCTGAGCTCGCCAAAGTGTGCAGAGTTCGGGTGACGAGTAGTTCGTACTAAGTTTGTGGGTTTGGCTTTTACTGCCATCAGAAAGCACAGGGACTCCCATTGGTTTAGATCGTCGGACAATTTACCTTGCAATGTGATAGTTGCTGATTCGGGAACGTTCAAGCACACAACAGTCAGGGCACTATTGTTAGATCCCTTTTTTGTTGCGCTGTAAGGTTAGGGGATTGTTTGACCTGACTTGCCACCAAATGATGATTGCTTATTATTTGTCTCTCTATTCAAGTTAACCGTGTTTGTAACAGAAGAGACGAAAGGGTGGCATCTCGGGAGAACTTCGCAGCAATCGCGGCATATGTGACTGGTGTTCTAGGGGACTTTGGCTTTACAGTGGACCCCGGAGCTGCAGATGCTGAGGGTTGCTGTTCGGCTATTTTGTCCTTTTTACATACAGGTGTCACAAGACGTGGGACTTGATTACTCACACGCTTTGGTTGGTGCCTGATTTTAGTTGCCACGGGCACTGGTTGCCTCTCGGAGTTACGGTCAATTTTTTCTGGTGTTCTGCCAAAGATTGGGAAGACAACGTCGATCGGGACCTGGCTGATCGTGGTTCAGAAGTAACAACTTGTGCACAATTCCTTTGGTTAAATGTCACTAGGTTTAACTGATTCAGACTTTCTTCCAGTTATATGAGCTTAGTGTTTATTTGCTGCTCGGCTTCTGTTACAAACCGGTTGCATTTCTGGACTAGGACAAGCATACACAAATGGGATGTTCAGACAGGTAGCACAGAACCAAAGGACATATTGAGCTATTCATCTCCCGCACCTGCCGTTGGGATAAACTAGCACATTTCGGATAGTAATACTTTGGACAACGCGAGCAAGCTAAGCCTAGTGTGACTAACCAGTTACATTCTTTTTTCTGTAGGTTCGTCACAGTTAGCCCAGGCAGACAGCCACCGCACATCCAGAAAAGCGCTAGACGGCCGTTTCGTCCTATTGGGACTCGTCAGTAGCGCGCACCCGCCGAATCCTGCCGGATTCGAACTCACAACCATACTCTTGCGAGTCAGCGAGCCATTGGCGACGGCAGCGGACCGCCATGACTGATATCTAACTAGGATATAGCGCGGCTCATCCTCCACTGTTTTGCATGTTGTGAATGTGCAGAGGACAGGGCTGGCCCCCCCCCCCAGAGCAACGACTTCCTTTGCAAGTCGCCACGGTAGTCGTATGAAAAGTTCTTTCTTCTCTGCTGTTTGAACTTGCAACAGGTCGGGTTTGTTTTGCATGTTCTTAAGAATGAAACGGTCAGGATATCCGTCCTCGCGAAGCAAACTATGAATGAACGTCAACTCACTATCCAACGTGTCTTCAGAACAGATCCTGCGAGTTCTTGTGGTTAGACAGCGAATTAAATTTCGCTTATATCTCAACGGAACGAAACTGTTAAATTGGTATACTGGTCGCCCCAGGTTTTCTTCCTGTAGACATGCTGTTGGATTGAGCCATCTGCCCTTCTAGTTAACAGGACATCAAGAAAGAGCAATTGGTCGTTCAATGCTTTCTCGCAGGCAAAATGCAATGCTGCGTGGGCCCGATTTAAATGGTCAATAACAGCGTCAGGTTCAATAGATTGACCGGCCACAACAAATATGCCGCATGTAGCTTGGTATTCTTTAATTTCGCTATGGAGATATCAACCAACAACGGACCCGATGGCGATCCCATAGCTATATCATCACTTTGTCGGTAGTAAGTACTATTGCGTAGGAACCGTGTGTTCCAAGCAAACCGCAAAAGGAGGCTTTAAAACTTGTGCAACGGGATGCACACCTTTGTTTGTATTTCGTTCATGTAGGAGCAAAGGTAATCGATTGTCTCGAAAAGTGGCATGTTGGTGAAATGCGAGACAACATCCAGGGAAAACACTAATTTCGTAACGATGCCGCGGTCTTCGATGCTTTCGATGAAATAAAAGGTGTCACGAAGGCTGTCGTGTGCAAGTCGCTGCCTTACTGGCTCTAGAAGTTCCCCAAGCCATTGGGCAACGGCATGGTAAGGTGAGTTAGCCATTGATAAAATCGGGCGAAGCGGGACATCAGTCTCGTAAATTTTCGATAACCCATAAAGCTTCGGGACATTCGTGCAAGCTTGTTTTCGGATTTTGGAGTACCGCTGTGTCTTGGGTTGCGACTCGCAATCTCAATCGTGGCCTCGGTTGACTTTGAAGTCAGCCTCTGCCAAAGCGGTCACTGGGATCGTCACCGAAGTGGAGTGCAGGGATAGGAGAGAGCCACACCGAAACCCTTTACTTCGGTGACGTTCCCAGTGACCGTATTGGCAGAGGCTGACTTCAAAGTCAACCGAGGCCACGAATGAGATTGCGAGTCGCAATCCAAGACACACGGCGGGTGCTCCAAAACCCGAAAATCTACTTCTAACCGCTGTGTCAAACACTGCTTGCGGAGCTCAATGGCCTAGTGATCATGGCGATAGCCGCCAAGCATTATGCGCCGAGTTCCACTCCCAGCTCGGCTATCTCTACCTGATGAGTCAAAACAAAGACGAAACCGTCGGTCGTGGAGTGCAGGGATGTGAGCCACAACGAAATCCTCCTCTTGTAAGCTCTTAATTAGCTGCTTTTCAATCCTCTCCATTAGATCCCTTTCTCCAATCGTTCGGGCAATACAACTAGCTCTATTATGGCTCATCTTGTTGATAGTGGGCAAGAGGTTGACCCTATCCGTGCCTTCGGAATACTCTACAGGGGCTGCGCCTCCGCACCATTTCTACTGCTGAGCCGAGCAGCATTCGGTTGTAACAACCGCTTTTGTGTGCACAAAAGAAGTTGATCGAGGCTCTTAGGCTACCTTGGCCAGACAAAACGGATGATTCTGAGGCTACCTGTAATCATCCAACTACACCTTTGTCCTAGTTTGCCGTTTGTTTCTGGTTTATGTCCCTGTTCGACACGTGATCAAATCTCAGTTGAACTGATCGAATCCACGTTTACGCCCTGAGGATGAATCATCGAAAACATTTGTTTACCTTCAGCCTTTTGTTTTTGATAATTAAATGGGAATTTTTCAGTTACTGAAATTTTCGATTGGAAAGGAACTCGATAGCGGCTTCCATTGCTTAGATGTTAACCCACAGAGGAACCCAGATGGCACACTCATTCATTCTGTATACAGGAAAGCAACGTAGACAGAACAAGATCTCAATTTTAGTAGTTTCTGTCCTATGCACCACTAAAAAGCTTTAGTCTGTATCACGTTCGTCAGAACTCGCCAAATGTGCGCCCCGGAAACGATCAAAAGTGGAGTTCAGCATATCACCTCGACATTACAAGAGGACGGATATTTCGAGCGATTTATAACAGGACGCGCGAACTCAAAACCTAAAGAGAACCGATTAACTGATGTCCATAAGAAAAAGGTGTTCATTACGCTACCATTAATAGGGGATCAATTTGACAGATGTCGGTATCTTCTCCGACAATCGACTAGGAATGGTTACAATGCAAGTGAAGCAGTGGTATTGCATCAAACAAGAAGGTCGCTATGAAAATCTAACTTAAACAAGCCAAACTCTTAAGTTTACCGCTTCATGTGTCTATCTGTTTTACTGTAATTGGAGTAGCGAGTACATCGGCTGAACTGAGAGAAGGTTATCTGCAAGAATCGCAGAGCATGTTCCTCCTATCATGGTCGCAAAAGGCCTCAAGCTACCACCAGCTCGATTGCTCTGTGTGCCAAAACCCACGCGGATCTTTCACGGTAAATAACAAAGAGATCTCCGTCTAATTTAGTTTGTCGAGGCTTCGGCGATTCGGCGGCTGAAACCAAGATTATGCAAACAGACAGATTTTGTGGCCAGCCTAGCCCCACCCTGGTGAAGTAAGTGTTTGTTTACCTCCAGCCGGAATGCATGTGAGCCTAGTGACCTTTGACTGTCTTAACTTTCGCCCATCAAATTTATGTTAGATGTCTTTGTATCCAACTTAATTATTCCACAACTTATATAGTGAGAAGTAACGATAGATACCGTCTCTCATACCCTCCGAACTACCGTCATAATGTGAGGAAAAGACCTTGTCTTCAAACGGCGCTTTTTAACTCAATGCAACTTTTGACTGGTATCCAGCCAAGTGGATTGCCTTCAGCATGTCTACTGAGGGTGATACCAAAACCATAATTACCCTAACTCAGTATAATCAAGGGAGCGAAGATTGCAGACATATTCGGAACCAAAGAGTCGACACAACACTGTTATATGCGTGTTTCAGAGACACAGTACACGTCACTAATAAGAAAACGAAAAACGAGAGTTAGTGCTGTCTACTGGCCGATCTGACCCTAAGTGCGGACGTTAAAAGAAGCAATGTAAAATGGGACATTTGGTTTGAGGGGCGAGTTACGTGTATCGATGGCAGCAGGTGCGATGTCAGCGGCAGTCTCTTGCCCAATAGATGAGAAAGAAGAGACGGGAGAGGAGAGAAAAACAAAAGGAAGAAGTCTTGTTGACGGGTCGAGAGGGCAGCAGATATCTGCCCATTTCGTTGCCCATTCCGTGAGAGAGAGTTTGTTCAAGATGCTCTACCTATAGTCTTTGACTCGATAGCTTGACTAATAAGGCAGAGAAGAAGCAAGTGCATTTGAGGGGTGAGATCTGCTTGAGGCAATCTACATACAGCCTTGGAAGATTTGGAACAATTCACGTGTTCTTCGACCACAGTATGTAGCGTATCTGCAACCACAGGTAACCGCAGATGAGTTGGCGAGTTTGCACTCATTTGAACAGGGGTTTCCAGACTTGAGGCGAACAGTAGCAAACCATTAAGCATCAGGGTGTGATCCGCAACCTCCAGAGACAATGCGTGGCACTCATGCTCTACGCAAATCGGTTGATGAGCTTATGACCTGTAAGGTGTTGTCTCCCATGGCTGTTTTAAAAAAAGAGAGCCAACGACCTCTCCCCAACCTCGAAAAAGATTATGAGTGAGTTAGTCTGACACAGCCATTGATCTGTCTGGTATGAGTGAAGCTGAAGTCGCTTGAAAAGCGTCACCCAGTGTAGTCCAACGGGTCATGGAGGTATGCAAACCATCGCCACACGTTAAGGTCCAGTCCCATTGTGACTGCTTACTCTTCAAATGTAGGTGTGAATCAAATTGGCCAATAATGGTATATAAAAAGATGTCAGCAAAATAACACTTCCATCAATGAGTCGGCGTGCATTTTTATACCGCATTACGATTCAGATGAATAAAAGCAAGCATAGATGTGGGCGAAACTATGAGGTGAGAATCAGCGACACTATGGAAAACAGGGATTTAAAAATATCAGACATAAGGAAAATCCTACAGAACAGGGAATAAGAAGAAACTTATATTATCGTAGTGGTGTAAAAAGCGGTAAGATAAAATGTCAACGCCCACGTACCTCCCTTCCACAGTTTCCTCCTGACCATGTTGCTCTGATGGAACAGCCAACAGATCGATGTTCGTCAATTGGTGTGGGAACGTATGGAGGGTTGAACATAATCAAATCCACCGAGGAATCCAATCTGCCAAGAAATGGAATTGCGAGTGTGCATTGAATAGCATCAAAGGCAACGGTGGTTTCTTCATGTATATTCGACATCAGTACTCTGATCGAAGCGAGACAAGCCTAAGATTCACAAAGTTAAGGTGGATGCAAATGCCACATACGAAGCGAGATATGTCAGTGGCAACATGGAAACGTGATACGCCGAGGCTATGCAGAAATGCACCAATAATGCCACTTCCGCTGCCAATATCGAGTGAGATAGCGGGATCAAGAGATTTCAAAAACAACACATCTTTTTCCAAGGCATCCAAAAACAGAAATGAATCTTCCGAGGGAGGATAAACGTCACTGAACTCAGGGCATCGTAAAATGTCTGTGCATGGTGTTTTCATCGCTGAAACAAGAAATGAACAGTCTCAGTGCCAAGGATCATGCAGACCACCTAGAAAAAATTTAGTTCTTAATGAGCTCGTGAGGCCCAGACCAAATGAATTACTTTAAGTAGAAAATCCTTGCAAAGTATCCGAAATGCTAGCAATTTTCACTTCTTAGTCTAGAATTGTGGCAGACGGGACTCTGATAAATAGGCTGGTATTTTGGAGGTTGGCAGGCAGGTGTAGCCAGAAGACAATTGTTGTGAGTTCTAATAAGCTGAGTAGCGCGTAACGCTGCGATGGCAAGGGTTGTTGACAAGAAGGTTTGAGCTCTACTGAGCCTCTCATAGCAGCGTATTTCGCGCAAGTACCTGGCCAAGGCGTTAAGGCAGCCACTGGATGATAGATTTGTGTTTACATCAGCTCGCAAATCTGGAAAAGCATTTAGGCGTTTGTTTCTTACCTGGTATCTTTATTTAACTCTTAGCAATCAGCTATCCGGTATTTTTAATGCTCTCTATAGTTACTAAACTGAATGAACTCGAAGCAATGAAACCGTGGTCAGAACTACTGTTGTCTATTACATTCGGCTATCGTACAGTAAGCGTTGAGATAGAACGTGAGGCGGTTATGGGATGTCACCACTTCTGGGTACCATTTGTCGAGATCCAGGTTGATAGCTGCGGTTGTCCCATGTGGTATGCTTTTTCTACGTGGATTCGTGTGTGGCTTATCAACGCAACTGCTCCCATTTTTTCGGAGTTTTCGGTGCCATTCTGAATATGGATCGCTGCACAGGTGTACGATCAGGCTTAATCAGCATATTTTCGTACTGGGTGCGTTCAGTGATGTGTTGGCAGTGCAATAAAAGATCTGCTGATTCTTCCCTTGAAAACTTAAAATTGATCGGATGACAGTGTCTCTGTGCTTTATTTTCCAAGCACAGACATTTACAGATGACCTCGGACATCCTACAAGCGCTCAGTATTGTCACTTTTATTTTGACAAACTGAATCTGTCCGGTATGTCAAAAAACAATCATATTTTTAAATCTACGGTTGTTTCCATGTAACTCCGAAGCGATTGAGTCAACTAGCTGCTCTGTCTTTCTCAGTCGAAGAAGGTCAAGATCCTCCGATGGGCTGCTGATATAATCCAGTGAAAATTAAGGATCTTCAATGAGTTCAAGAAAAATCAACACACAATTCATTTTGTCGACGTGACTGCAATAAGCAGACTTTAACGCTAAGTTCGGGTGTGAGCTTAGAGCCTGGGGAAAAACAATCTAGCGGTGATTTTAGAGTACCACATTTTAAGCGCTGTGGCACAGAGGTTATCGGGTGTCTGGAATTTGGTGCGATCATAGAAAACTAAGTGTATCAGGGGTTGGATCAATATTCACTTGAGTAAAAGGAAACGCGATAAAACAAATCTGTTCTGACTCGACACCTCCGCACTGCATGCTCATCATCATCATCATCAGCAGCAGCAGCAGCAGCAGCAATGCACATTAGCTTAGCTAATGTGCGGCAATACAAAAAACGATAACATGCTAAAAATTGCGCAGCAAAAAAATTCAAAAATCAAGAAATAGAATGTTAAATACTATAGTATTCATTTGCTCGGAGGTCATGATTGGAGGGAGAATCTAAAGGAGAGGGGGATGGACAAAGAAACTCGCAGTACAAGCAGCAATGGGGCCGGCTCCCAATCATGTCGGTAAGTGTATTCAACCAAACATCCTCATCGTCCTCCGGATACCAGCCCGGCAGTCAGGATGCACCAACTTCGAAGTGAGGGTTTTATTTCTCTTGACCAAGTCATTGCTTGGCCTCCCCTCGATCTCTTCTATCCAGACCCCGGGCGCACAAACAACGCAGGTCACAGAGTCGGGCTGGCATGCGCAACATGTGGCCAAGCCATAGAAGCTTTTTGCGTGAAATAATGGTGCTGAGTGGATCACTCGCTCTTCCTGCATAAAATACACGATGCCGAACACATGCATTGCTCCCGCAGTGCTTCCACCAGACATGAGCTAAGCAGCGAAGGGATCGATGGTCGAACGTAGCTAGCCTCTTTATGTATACCGACCTGATGGGCCAGGTTTTACTAAGGCACAGCAGGATGGAACGGACGGTTGAATTGTAAACTCTGTCCTGTATAGCGAGAATAATGGCGCGTCGGCGCAACAGATGGCGAATATTGGCAAAACCACCTCGAGCTTTTGCTATACAGTTCATGACCTCACGGGCGCTAATGTAGCTGCCCAAATACTCGTATTCCTGAACGACTAGTTGGTCGCCACCGAGGGTCAGCGCAAGGGTAGGTCCCTGCCAATCTTGGAGCCTTTGCATTTCGAGGGAGCAAAGCATAACCCAAAACAATTGACAGCCAGTGCTAATCTGCCCAGTGCTGCTTGGCATGTTTGGGCAACCAGGTTCATGGTGGGTCAAGTACCGTCACTCTTGGATCTAGTCTACGGCAAGTCAATGGACTTCGTCAACGACATTGAATACGACTCACCTATAGGTGCTAGTGATCATGCATGCCCGTCCTTCAAGTGCGCTTTCAACCGAGTACCCAATGACTGCACCATACGAAGACTAAATATATGGCGTGCTGATTTTCAAGCAATGAAAGCAAAGGCCGCCACCTCAGTTTGGGTTATTTCGGACACAGACAATATTCAGGCAGCCTAGGACACATTCAAGTCCCATTTATCCGAGCTGTCTCTACCTCACATACCAATTTCTATGAGGAAGAAAACTGAAACCTGGCCACCCTGGTTTGATTCTGCGGCGCGAAAGCTGCTTAAGAGGCGGACCAGATGTTGGCGTGCTTATGTGTCTGCTCCTTCAGCATGCACCTTCCAAAAGTACCGAGAAGTTCGAAATGCATGCAGGCAGTATCTGTGACGTGCTCGGTTACAACATGAACCCGAGCTTGCTCGTACATCCTCATCAAACTCAAAACGCTACTTTGTTTATATCAAAAGGTGAGGCGATATGAGCCCGCGCATCCAGGTGTTGTGCGGTCCTGACAGCTATGCTGCTGTCACTGGTCTTGACAAGGGCTCTTTTCTTGGGAAACAGTATGGAAGCTTACTTGCCCGAGAATCCCATCTGCCGCGCATTAGTTTGAAAGTAAAGGCTAATGTAGATGCCTATCTAGAGGTTTCTATATCGGAGGCCAAGGTTTTCAAGTTTCCACGAGAGCTGTATCCCACTAAGGCGGCAGAATTGGATGTTACCCACCCCAAACTGTTGTTTGAGTTGGTAGACGAACTTTGCTATCCTATTACGCAACTGTTTGAGATGTCACTGCGCAGCGATTCTCTACCTGACGACTGAAAAAACGCTGCTGTATGCCCCGTTTTTAAAAAGGTGACAAACACCTCCCCGAGAACTACAGACCGGTGTGCTGGTCAAGCTCCTGGAAAAGCTTGTGAGAGATGACCTTGAAAAGCATTTAAGGGCATTTAGGTTGCTCAGCCCCTCCCAACACGGCTTACGTAAGCGCTATTCTTGCCTTATCAACTTGTTAGTTGCCCGTGAACATTGGGCCGATGTGGCTGATCAAGAAAAAGCCCTGGACGTATTATTCATCGACTTCTCCAAAGCTTTTGACACTGTTCCGCATTAGTGTCTTTTGTATAAGCTGTAGACTTACGGTGTCTCGTGACTTAACTTAAAATGGATTTCGGCTTTTTTAACCGGGAGATAATTGTTCTTGTGGGCTCCAGCCCGTCTTCAAACCAGCGTGTTCGCAGCGGTGTCCCGCAAAGGTCGGTTATTGGCCTCTTGCTATTTACCTTGTTCGTTAATGAGTGACCTGACGAGCTGTGAGCGCCATCACTAATTTTCGCGGAAGATTTAGTTCTGGTCCAGAAAAAATGAACTTAGTGGTCTACTGGCCCTACCATGGGACTTGTCCGTTTTCTAGCAGTTGCCCATAGATCACGTTAAATATTCGGTTTTGCGAGTAGGATCAAATGAACCACCGACACACTATATTATTATTATTATATTAGCAAACGTGTTAGCTTGAGGCGTAAAAAACCTCAGTTACTGTGCCGCAATACATAAAAGAAAAAAGAAAAGAAATGCAACAGTTGCATGCCAGCTGAGCTACCAGCAACGGATGGGCATCGTTTCGGTAAGCTACCAGCCGGCTACTAGGCAACAAAAAACAAAAAGGTTATTATGTAAAATTATATTATGTTGCGAAAGGAGATCGTATTTGGAGGGGACGCTAAAAAGGACGGGGAGAGACAAAGAAACTCAAAATAGGAACGCCACTGAGGTCGGCTCCTAGCCATGTCAGCAAGTGTATCCAACCAAACGCGTTCATCGTCTTTCGGACCCCAACCAGGGAGCCATGATGCTCCAACCGAGGCCAGCTCCGAAGTGAGGGCCTTCATTTCTCTGGACCAAGTCATCGCTTGGCCACCTCTCCTCTTCTATCCACACCACCGGCACGCAAACAACACACGTCGCGGGAGTCGGTGGGCTGGCATGCGTAACACGTAACCGAGCCATCAGAGCCTGGTGCGTGAAATAACGGTGTTGAGCGGTTCAGTTCTTTTTCCTGTGCCGTAAACAAGGCGTCGAACACGCTCGTTGCTCACGCAGTGTTCCCACCAGATGTGAGCCAAACTGCGAAGGCACAGGTGATAGAACGTAACTAGCCTCTTTATGTCCGCGGATCTTAGGGGCCACCATACCGTAGAGTACAGTAGAGTCAAACGTACCGCTGCATTGTACACTCTACCCTTCAGGGCGAGTGATGTCGCGCCTGCGCCACAGGTGGCGAAGGCTAGCGAAAGCATCTCAAGCTTTTGCAATACGGTTCCTGATATCATTCTCAATCCCAACGGCGCTGATGCAACTTCCTAGGAAGTTGAAGTTCTGAAAGACTTCTTGCTGATCCCCACCAAGGGTCAGCGCAGGTGATCCCTGCCAATCTTGGAGGAAAGATTTGCAGCTCGATGGTGCAAAGCAAAGCCAGAAGCGGCTGACAAACAGTGAAGATCTGTCCAGTGCAGCTTGGCACGTCTGAGAGCTATCACAGATGAGGGCAATATCATCTGGATACTCCGAGTCAAGAAGTCGTTCTCCTTCACCAGTTGACTGGTGTCAATGCGCTCACAGCGTCGTCGTGGGCGCCCGCCAAAACGCATACGCACGTCAGCACATACAAGTGCATAGTAGGTGGCCACACACGTGCTCCAAATCGGGCGACAGTTCTGGATGCAGCCTCTCCAGCGGTAACTTATCGCAATGTACTCGATTTGCGTCCATAGCTAGTTCGAGGCTGGTGGGCGACAAGTCACCCTCCGGCGGGTGCTGTATCGGAAGTTAGTGCTAGCAAGAAATAAGCGGGCATCTTCACACAAATGAAGTAACCGCTCACCGTTATCATTACGGGAACCTACACAGTGTTGACCGCCCAGATGCAGTCCATCAGTGCACAACTTCCCAACTTGTGCGTTAAGATCCACCGCCAGCACAACAGTGTCTGTGCTACTTCTGTGACGAGGTAGCTCGGTCAGTTAACGGTAGAAGTCGTTCTTCACCGTATCATCGCTACAGTTTGTGGGCGTGTAGGTAGCAATGATGAATTGACATCTATTAGTCCCGCGTGACTTCGAAAGTTTGAACGAGGCAGCCAATCGGACCGCACACATCCTGCTACTGATTGGGATCCAAGCAACCAGAGCAGCTTCAGCCCGATGACTCAGGGCAATGCCAACACCAGCTTGGCCGGTGCTCGACGCTGCATCGTCACCGGATAGGCGCAATGAGAAAATACTGCTGGTGTCATCTGAAGGAGATCGCAACAGAGTGAGCACAGAGCTCGAGTCTTGCAGGCGGGTCTCCGATAAGCAGCAGATATCGATCGAAAGTCTCTAATGTTCGGGTAAGTGCAGCCTGTTGACCGATCTGAAGCAATGTGCGTACACTGAGGCATGCCAATCTGAAGGAGGATCGAGGGCTCCAAATGGAAGCTGATGAACTGGAGTAGACCGCTTGGTTGGCTTGTCGACAGGATAGGAGTGACGCCTAGCGCTTGCATGTGAGTTGAAATTAGAAGATAAACGCCTAGCAAAGCATGTTAGAGGAGGGCCAAGAATCAGTGGGGTTGAAAACAAGGGGGATCAAAGTGAAGTTGGAACGGGAACATACGGGAGAAAAAGCGTAAGAGTGGGAGTGAGAAGAAAGCTTGAGCAGTAGCATCCAAACCCCTATCCACCCTGCTCGATGCAACAGATAGGGCACCGTTGATTATCCTCTGCGGTGGCCAGAGCATCAAGAAACTGTTTGAAGAGAAATTCGTTGTATTGCGTGGGCAGGATACTGTCAAGTTGCCCAGGTCTAGACAGGAGAACGACTAGGGTTCTCAACCAAAGCCTTTGGTATAAAAACTTGACCGCAAGGCAGCAGGTTTGGCGGTGAGCTACAAGGAGTCCGTTTTAAAGAATAAGGAGTTACTCTCATTCCAATCACCAACCTGGAGGACCAGGAGACTGAGTTTGTCTGGCCTCTAACCATTGACCAATCTGGTATGAGTGGCCCTGAAGGTGCAAAAAAGCACCACCCAGTATAGCTCAATGCATCTCTGAGGCACACAAACCATCGCACCATAGTAAGGTCCAGCCACATTGCGATGGGACGCATTATCTACTTGGAAGTAATGAAGTGCCACGGGTGTCACTCCAAACTGACCGAGGCGTCTTGTTGTCATCTGATTTTAAGTCCAGTGAAGATCGGATGGCAGCTGCTTGCATAGGCTTTTGACTGCTGTGGATGATCCGCAGATCATTCGGGATCATAACAACCGAAAAGTTCGCAAGATTATTTGCAATCTTTTTTAGGCCACACTTGGAATACCGCGTACAAGCTTGTCCCCTTTGCCTAGTCGGGGACAAGATGACAATTGAACGAGTCTTACGGTCGGGGACGAAAATGGTGTTTCAAGTAAAGTTGTCGTACCCTGAGAAGTTACTCGTATTGGACGTTTTCCATGTACTACAGACGATTTCGGAGTAACCTGGTCCTCATTTATCGCATAAGAACAGGTCAAGTCGATTCTGATTAATCTGGACTGTTCCATCCCACTCGGGTACCAACTCTTCGTGGCCATTCACTGAAGTTGCACAAACCCCGTTCGGACCGGGTTGGAACTGATTCTCGATTATCATGCCGGGTTATAGACTATCGGAATGCGCTGCCCGCGGAAGTAGTGATGGCGCCAACGGTGAAGGAGTTCGAACATCGACTTTACGCCCTTGGTCTACAGTTTAGAACCTTTCCCTTCTCATCTTAGCTTTGCTGTTATCTGTTGATACTTACTCCTTCTAACCTTTCCATTTGCATTCCAAAATTGTTACATTCATTGCTCCAACTTGCCTCGTTTTTGTTCTTTCAGTTGTACTTTACTGCACGTGACAGACACAGCGGGGACTGCTAGTGCAGGGGGATGGGTATTGTTTGGTTGACCGTAGTGTACCATGTGTGTTGACTTGGCTCCTCCTTGCAACTCGTCCAACAAATTGACTTTGGGATCAACGACGCTTTACAAGATGGAAATATAACGGGATTCTCCCACTGTTCCGGTCCCATTTGAACGTGAACTTGCATCCGTCCACGTAACTTTCACTATCCGCAATTGCTGCGTTAACTCTTTTACAATCTGCGAACAATGAAGAGAAGAAAACAGGAGTTATGGTCAGATAATAAATCAGTCTTAACCAGAAGACTGCTGCTACTGCAGTAGCCACTCCTATGAGTGAGGCTAATTGTGTAAGGAATTCGGTACAACAGTTTCCGGTTGCGGATGAACGAACCGAGCTGAAAATGGTGCACACGATGAGTACGAACCGTCCGACACAAACACGTGACGTTAGCGCTTTGACGAACAAAGGAAGAACAACGAGATCAGCCCGAAGCGTTTAGCAGGCGGCATTCCATTCAGTAAACGGAGCTGCTTTGTGGAATTGCCTACTAAGAGTGTGCCCGACAAGTTTGTCGCCATACTGAGGGGACTGTACAGTCACACGTCGAGCAAAGTTAGGGCTTACGGTAGAATTTCCTCTTCGTTTGCTGTCACCAGCGGCGTTTGCAAAGGTCGCCCTATTTAGCCCTTCCGCTTCAATGTTGCCATCGAAGATGTCGCGCAACGAAAGCTAGGGGTCCCGAATTGCGGTACTGGGCTTCTTTCCGGCGCCAGAATCGCAGTTAGGCCACGCCGATGACATCGCTTTGCTGGGTGACGATCTGCAAACTGTCCAAAACATCTTGAACCGCTTAGTGAATGAGGCATCCAAATGTAAAGTGCTATTTCAGGATTAGCAGGGACCTGCGTGCGCACCCATCATTGCTGGTGATATATTGGAACAAGTGAATGGCTTCAGTTATCTAGGGAGCCGCATCACGGTTGTAGGCGGTGTTGGAGAGGAGATTTCACAGCCCATTGCAAAAGCCCGCCTTGCTTTCATCAAACTGATACACCTATGGCATCGTCGTGACGTCGATCTCAAGCTCAAGGGCAGGGTATACAATGATTCCGTCCGTACGGTCCTGCTGTACAGCTGTGAGACCTAGACTGTTCGCTCCGAAGACATGAGACGACTGTTAGTTTTGACAACCTTTGTCTACGAAGGATCGCTCGTGTTTGGTGGTAACATCACACAAGTAATACGGAGGTTCATGGACGAGTGCTTGGAAAGAACAGTCCCAGCCTTCAATACGTTGCTCTCCGACACTGCATGCATTGGCTCGGCGACGTACTGCGGATGCCAGCCTATCGCCTTCCCCACGAGCGTTTTTTGCGATTCCCGGAAGCTACGCACTCATCATCATCATCATCATGATCAACAGCAGTACATCAGCCATTTGAACTGATGCTTCGTTGCCATACAACCATGAAGACCTATGAAATAAAGAATAAGAACAAGGAGAGAGGGGGGACTTACCTGAAAACCTTAATGCCCTAAGCAAACATTCTGGGTCTAGGCGCCTACACCTTGTGTAGACAACATACCGTCACAAACAGCTGGCTATCGTGCAAAGATAAGGCGGCATCGGCGAGACAGCTTCCTTGCGGCTTTCACTGCCACGCGTCATAATCAGCCATTACCCCGCAGATAACTCAGCACCAAACACACTTTAAACAGACAATCCGATTAGGAGACGGCAGCAGACGCGCCACTGGTGTCGGTTGCGATCCATGTCCTGTAAAGTCTCGAGCCAAGCACAAGGCGAGTCACGTGGACTACAGTCCACTCCAGGCGAGACGGACCAACGGCACCCAGTTTAGTCGTCAGTGACTTCATTTCGCGCTGCCAAGTCAACTTCTGTCCACCTCGAGCCTTGCGCCACCCTACACCTGGCAGACTAAACAAGACCCTCCTAAGTAAGCGGTGACCAGACATATGTAGCACGTACCCAAGCCAACGCAACTTATTCAGTGCTGTCTATTGTTCTAGGGAGTTAGCAAGATTATTATGAATCAATATCAGAAATCATTTCAGGGTAAAGAATTCTTTTCGGTAACTCTCATCGGACCCAAACAATTACATAACAGTGATTGTGGAGATAGCGTCAACTGGGGCTGGGATTGACTTCTTGACTGTTTGAATCACCAAAATCGATAACTTGAGGCAGAGATAGAGATGGTAGACCAAGTAAACTAAATAAACATGTGTACACAAGGCTCAGTAGTACAATGTAATTAAGTAGGTAAAATAACAAGCAAATAACTAACTAACGGTTTCCGTTGGCCAAGGTAGTAGTATCGGCCGTATACATCGTTTTTGACACATAATTCCGGCTTTAGATGGTGAATGTACCTAGGCTCGGCGATGGATAAGAGCTGTTTGCGGAATTTTTGGGAGTAAATGAGTAAATGACTTTGAAGTCATTCTCTGAAGCTGTATGGCCACATTCAAGGAGGTGCGACATGACAGAGCTGTCTGAAGACCTCATTTCGCCTCTGTAAAACCATGCCGGGATGTGTTCACGAACCCTCTGAGATAGGCGTCTCGTCGTGCGACCCACGTATCGTGCACCACAGGAGCACGAGTACTGATAAATGATCATTGAACGGGTCAACGGCGGTAGTCTATCCTTCAAGGGTTTTGTAAGCAACGGCGAAATGAGGTCTTCAGCAGCTCTATCATGTCGCACCTCCTTGAATGTGGCCATACAACTTCAGAGAATGACTTCAAAGTCATTTACTCATTACCTGAACACTTCTCCCAAGGATTCCGCAAACAGCTCTTATCCATCGCCGAGGCTATGTACATTCACCATCTAAAGCCGGAATTATGTGTCCAAAAACGATTTATACGACCGATACTACTACCTTGGCCAACGGACACCGTTACTTAGTTATTTGGCTGTCATCTTACCTACTTAATTACATTGTACTATTGAGCCTTGTGTACACATGTTTATTTAGTTTACTTGGTCTACCATCTCTATCTCTGCCTCAAGTTATCGATTTTGGTCATTCAAACAGTCAAGAAGTCAATCCCAGCCCCAGTTGACGTTATCTCCGCAAGCACTGTTATGTAAACGTTTGGGTCCGATGAGAGTTACCGAAAAGAATTCTTTACCCTGAAATGATTTCTGGTAGCACGATTATCACTACCTAGTACTCGCCTACGCACATCATCGTTGCGGACACGCTGGTGCCATCCGACTTCAGCAATGCTTCGCAAACAACGATGATCAAAGACTTGAAGGCGCCTCAGATCTTCAGACCGAAGGGGCCAAGTCTCACTACCATAGAACAGAACGGCCCTCACTGTGGCCTTGTATACACGGCCTTTCAGACGGAGGGAAACTCCCTTCTGTCGCCAAAGATGACGCAGGTTCAAGAAGGCAGCTCTAGCCTTTGCAATGCGTGAGCTCACGTCAGTTTCTATGCGCCCATCATTGCTGATGCAACTGCCAAGATAAGTGAATTGATCAACCACCTCGAGTTCCTCGTTAGCAAACGTCAAGGGTCATCAAGTGGCTGGTGGTCCTGCAGCAACACTTTGCACTTTGAAGGTGCGAAGTGCATACCAAATAATGGGACCACTCTGGATAGGCTATTCAGGGTTGATTGCGCCGCCTCAACATTGTCCAGAAAAAAGATGATATCGTCCGCATAATCTAGATCAACTAATCTTTCACCAGATAGCACTTCAACGCCTACATCGTGAGATTCCGCAAGGGAACACTCCATGATAGAATCCACGACGAAATTGAACAAAAACGGGGAAATCGGACAACCCTGACGAACACCACTTGTGATCGGAAAGCTATCCGATAGGCCACCGAAGACCCTGACGCAGCCTGTAGTGTTCGAGTATAGAGCACGAAGGATGTTCACGTATTTCGTGAGAACAACATTCCGCGCAAGTATTTCGAAGAGAACCGATCGATCGACTGAATCGAACGCACTCTTGAAATCGAGGAACACAGCTATTGTCGGTCTGCGGTATGCGTGGCGCTGCTCTAGTACCTGCCGCAAAGTGAATATTTGGTTTATACAGCCACGTCCTGGGCGAAAACCGGCCTGCTCTTCCCTAATCCGAGATTCCTGTTCTGCAGTGAGGCGACGAACAATAATCGAGGCAAGTGATTTGTCACAACTGGCGTTAGGCGAATACCCCTGTGGTTCGCACAGTCTGTGCGACTGCCCTTCTTGTATATTGCCACTATAATCGATTCGCTCCAATTAGCCGGCACACTCTCTTCGTTCCAGATACGTTCGAATAGGGAGGTCAGTGCTTTACAGAGGACCTCACCTCCATCCTTAAATAGTGCAGGTGGGAGGGAATCCGGGCCAGCGGCACGAAAACGACGAAAGGCTGTGATCGCGTTTCGGACCTCGGCCTCCGACGGGGGCTCTAAACTAACCGTCCATGGCTCGTCCTGCATCACCTGAGTAGGAAGAGGTCCGGGAGCAGGGGGCCAGCTGAACTGATCTTCAAAGTGTTCTGCCCAACGAGCCATACGGCGCTCCTTATTGTGTATCAGCGCACCCGCGCTGGCTCTGATTGTCTCACTGACGCCTGGTATTCTGGGACCAGTGGTGCGGATTAGCTGGAAGAGCTTGTGGTAATTGCCTACTGCTCCTGCCTCCTCCATTTCTTGAGCCCGACTGGTCCACCAGGCTTCCTTGTCAGCACGTAGGCTCCGTTTTAGTTCACGCCTAATAGCCCGTCTGGTCACATTGTGTTCAGAGCCAGCCGGGAGGTGTCTTCTAGATTCCAACAGGTTCACCGACCTCTCGGATATCCAGTGACTGGTGCGGTGACGATGAATAGTGACAGAAGCAGATGCTCCTGCGTAGTGCATGGCGGCCGACATCCTATTCCACTGAAGCTCAGCGTCATTAGGACAATACAGCGGAAGTTCGGTATGCGGTGCTTCTTGATAGGCTTGACTGACCTAGTGCTGGGACAATTTCTCAGTTGCCAATCGTAGGGGACGCTTGGTGCGCCATCCGGTAAAGTTCAGAGTCGACACAAGTACTCCAGTACGAGCGGCAATCCAGAATGGAACCGCGCCACCTGTAACTTATGGCTATGTGGTCAATTTGGGTCCATCGCTGGCCAGCTACAGGTGGACGCCAAATGGTACTTTGGCGCCCACTGTGTCTAAAAGCATTGCTAGTAAGAAACAACTGGTGCTCCG